TTTGTGTGTTCCTTTTATGTGGATGCATATTACAGAAGTAATGTCTGATGTTAATAAACTCTTCTAATGCCTTTATATTGGAAATATGGTTGGAAATATGACTGACTTAATATACAACATTAGGACCAAATTGTGATATGTTATCTTAGTTACATACAACCATATCTGTGTTAGGTCTTTTTTATTGTATGTGTGATTTTAGCAAGACTTTAACAGTTTGTTATAGAGTCTGAAAACACTGGCATCCCTGAAATTAATTTGAATCCTAAGAATGACAAATTAAATATATTTTCTTCTCCTTCTCATGCATGCCAACTCCTCCCATCAATTAAACATTCGACCCTGGAACACCATCTGAGGAACCTGCATAGTTCTCTGATGACATCATCAGTCACTATACAGGCCTTAAATTTCGTCATTTTTAGGGCAAGGCCAGTTTGGCCTCGAGTACCTCATATTTTTAAGGGCACCAAGGCCAAAATATTTTTACAAAAAGGGCATCGAGGCCAAAATATTTTACAAAAAGGGCATCGAGTATGAGGCCAAAAAAATTGATTCTATTTTTGTTAGATGTCGTGTGTATTTTATGAAACTTGTGCAGGATCAATTTCCCATGACTTTTAGCACCAGCTTCTTCACAGAATGTATAGAGGTCTACGGTACATACAAACAAGCTGGCGCGTAGCCACGGGGGGCACATGCCCCCCCTAAAATTTCCAGGATCGGTTGAAATTTTGTAGACCCCTTTTTTTGACCTCGATCGATTACATGTATGTGCCCCCCCAAACACCAAACTCTGGCTACGCGCCTGCAAACAAGGCGGCGGCCCGCAAGCCTTAGATTTAGCAGCCAGGAGCAAGGGGCAATTTTTTTTTTAAGTTGCCCTTTGCCACGGGAATTTACCAGAGCAAGGGCAATTTTCCAAAAACAGATAGGCCGCTTATCTAATCATAAGTTCAAAGAGAGTCTACGAATGTTAATTTCATAATGTGAATAGATCGAACGATCAATTTAATAACTTTTTAATCTTAACAATATGAACAGGAAAGATTGATTAAGAACGTCAAACTTGCACATTAAACAGTATTTTAAAGTAACTAAAAATATTGATGAGCAAATGAATAAATAAATTGTCAATTTCACAAACATCGAAAGTCAGAAGGACTTAATTGGCAAGTTTACCGGGCCGGGTATTCCAAATCAAAATCGCACCTCACACACAAACCTTCCGCCACTCTCTCGGTAGTAGGAGCAAATTTGAAGAAATTATCTTTTTAACTGTTGTATAGAAAGGTCTACATAGGCCTAACTAATGAAATAAGATGTAAAAATGTCCTTATAGACATTCGACAGCTGAAAGTGACACGCTCAGCTCAGTTGCGTAACGTGCATTCACGAAACCAAAATCGTTCCTCGTACACACACTCTCGCCACTTTTGGTGGGAAGCTGTCGGGCTGGAAGTTTGCCAGCGAAACCGATGCACCCTCGGAATTTTACCGGGACTCGAAACGTTCGTCTTGCGAAGCTGGCGGGGTAGCTTTTTGAAGCGAGGTCGGCTGGTGGCAAAATGAGAGTAACTACGATCGAGAACATCGTAGGTGTTCTTAACTTATTAATAAGATAATTCTAAATTCTATTTGAGATAAAATAATAAACTAGGCCTACAAACAAACCTCGACAGATCTCTAATGACTATTTGAATGCTTGTTTATTTCTCCATTTGACGATTTGTTTTCTTGATCCTGGCCTTACGTGCGTGCGTCAACAGCATGCACCATATGCACATCATGCGATCGCATAATATGAACGTACGTACGTACGTGCGCTAGCGCATTGCCTATATAATAACAAAGGGCGCATTTTCACGGCACTTGCGCCTTATTAAAGCACTAAATACGAAGCTAGAAGAGAGCTCGTGGGCGGCAAACTGTTCGTGATTCGTGTATTTTTACTGTTCTAATAATTTATGGGCGCATTTTCACGGAAAACACTTGCGCCTTGCCGTCTAGTTTTAGATGATTATGGGCGCAATTGGTGGTTTTATGTGCGCAAATTTAAAATAAAAAGGGCACGTCCAGTTGGAAAAAAAGGCACGTCGGCCAGTTTGAAAAAAAGGGCACGGCCTTTTTGGCCGTGAATATATCTTTTTTTGGGAGGGCACCGCGGCCAGTCATAGGGGCATCGACGGCCTGGCCGTCGATGGCCGTCGATTAATTTAAGGCCTGACTATAGCAACCAATGTCATCCATCTAATAATGAATAATAATAGGTCCATTTATATAGCGCAGCTACTATTTGAATATACTCTATGTGAATTAATAGTATTATATTATTACCCCGGCTGTAACTGAGCCACTATAATAAGGTGTTAAAGTATTCAAGGAATTTCTTCCTATTAAGTTCCTACCAGTACCTATTCACTTCACTTGGGTGAAAAGTGGCAAATATAGATTAATGTCTTGCCCATAGGACATTAATGCGGATGCAGGACTCAAACCCTGAACTCTTTGATCCACAGTCTGGTGCCGTATCCACTGGAATAAGACACCTCTAATAATTCAATCTAATCTAATCTAATCTAATCCCTGATGTACAGGGATTTGATTACCCCAAATGATGCGTTCTCCTCTCCAGTCAGAGGACATTAATGCCGAAGCGGGACTCTAGCTACGAACTCTGTGATCCATGTTCTGGTGCTGTAGACACTGGATAAAGACACCTCTATTAATCTTATCTTATCTTATCTAATCTAATCCCTGATTTACAGGGTTTTGATCACCCTAAGTAATGCGATCTGCTCCAGTCAAACCAATTGGAGATTGCTCTTGGATGACCTTTGTTTGAAACACACATTACACTATCTCCTAAAAATCATTGTTCCATATTAGCTGATAAAAGTGCAACTGAATATACAGCTACTACACCAAAGAAACATACTGATAGACATACAATTCATTAATCTTTATTATAGGTATGTCACTTCACCACCTTAGTTCATTAAACAAACAAATAACCTTCTGTATTCGAAATGTCTTCTACAGATCATCGTCCATTATCAATGGAAAGTTGGAAACAAGCAAGAAGGTATGTCATGACTGTAGCATTCAATGGCTTCTATTCTCTGGGAGAACTGGAGCATAGCGACTGTGTACACAGTGCACATGGCTCAGCCTTGTAATAGTCACGTTTTAGTCCTAATGATATATAATATGACATATTTAATATGAATAGTTGGAGTTTGCGTAAACTGGCAAGAATGTGGTGATATCAGTCGACAGGTATCCTTCTCACAGAACTTCTAGAAGATCCTCTCTAAAAAAAAAATCTATACTTTCAGATAAGCTAGAGATGTCAAATGAGCAGTAAGAAAGACCAGAGGCACGACAGCAGCACAAATCCAGAAGTTTGCCTACCTTATCTGTGAACGTCTCGGCCAGTCCAAAATTGGTCTTTTCAGCCATCAGAGAACACACAGGAGACCCCAAAACCAACTGTAGAAGTAGCTCAACATCCTCGAAATTGAGGAGTCAACCATCGAACAAACACTCAAATATACATGTCGATACGTGCAATAAATTAATGTAATATAGAGTCTAAGGTCTCAAAGGATAATGGAGTTGAGGAATTAACATATTGATTCAATACTTCTTCTTCTTTCGTGTCCATCATCTCAACTCAAATGTTCTGCCAGGCTCTTGCATACTGACGAGCCTTCTTATTTGCTGCCACTACATGTAGGTCTTCCAGGCAGCATTACTTATTTATTACTAATCAACAGTGAATGAACATTTTCAAAGACATAAATCCGACATAAAATCTGTTTTATGGCATACTTGCAGTGACTTGAAATCTATTTTGTTGACATAAGTCACCCTTTTGAGAACATCGTTCACATCGCATACAAACAATCATCTAATCACATTCATCACTCAACACAAATCTGAATCTAAATCTGCATTTGAATCACAACAAACATTATTTATCACACATATTCTGAGGGAAAAAAGTCTTGATATATCCGCCGACTGCAACTGCATGAACACTGAAGTATTAGTACGAAAAACATTAATTACAGAGAGCTTTTGATTTCAGAAAGGGAAACAGAATGCGTCTCTCTGTCGTGTGATTTTCGGAATAGTTCTGTGCCAGAATGAGGGTCTGTTCTGTATGCAGGACGAAACGCAGAGGGGTATACGGTACACATGTGAACACCCGGCATGCATATTATTCCCAGAGACTACTTTAGACAGTTGTGAAATTGAAAACGTGAAAAAACTGAATGTCTCTGATTCTGCATTGATTTGCTATTGATGTTAAAGATGTTCATGAGTGGGTAACTAGTCGTTTGTGAAGTAGGCAACTTCGCAACCACTACATAACACTGAGCCAATGGGTATTACATTCCTGTGCATACATTCGTGTGCTGCCCTCTATATGACTATGTAACCATCCTGGATCAAAAGCTCCGTGATTTACTTAAAACTACAGCTAAAAAACTACTAAAGGACATAATATTCAGACAAAACACTCACACATACACAAAACATAAACACAATACTAGCACGAACAGACACAGTACATAAAGAATCAAATACTCATAATATATGACATAAATACACACACACATATTGAGCAGCCCTTCGTTGGATTGTTGTAGAACGGTAAAATTGTGAAGTGTCATGTATTTCAAACCACTTCTGATTTGACGAGCAGAGTGGGACCTCATTATAAAGAACACTGCTGTAAAAAACTCTTTATTTAGCGTCGGTTGAGAATCAAAAGGATGTTAACTCTGTGTTAAAAGCACATGAGCTAGCACCCTTCTGGCTCCAAACAGATGATACTAAAGAAGTTATTATATTATACTGTTTGTGAACCTTGATATATCACGACTATCATGTAACAGTTTCATATAAATTTAGCTGTTTCTTTGAGTGAGGTTCCACTTTGTTCAAAGGTCAATGACCTATTGAGTATGGCACAGCAAAAGTTCACTCACCTTTAATGGATCATCTTCGTCCTCCTCATCCTCGTCTTCATCCTCCTGATCGTCCAATGATGGGATGAGTAGATGATGGAGACCGGTGGAAGGTAGGAATGAGAGATGGAGAGTAGAAGGACAGATGGAAGAGAGAGGAAGATGAAGAGATGGAGAAGACAGTGGAAGTTAGAAATGAGAGATGGAGAGTAGAAGGACAGATGGAGGAGGGAAGAAGAGAAGGGGAGGGAAGGAGATTAAGAGATGGAGAGGAGAGGGAAGAAGATGGAGAGATGGAGAGGAGAGGGAAGAAGATGAAGAGATGGAAAAATGAAATGAAAACAGATCGGAAGGGGGAGGGGGCGAGAAGATGAGAGATGGTGGAAGGTAGATATTATATAGAGAAGAGATGGAATGGAGGAGAGAGATGATGAGAGGGAGAAGGTGAAAGGATCAGAAGGGGAAGATGAGAGAGGTAGAAGGTAGAAATCAGATGGAAAATAGAAAAGGAAAGGATGGAGAACATGGAGGGTACAAATGAGATGAAGCATAGAAGAGAAAAAAAGGTGAGGAATATGAGGAAAGAAGATGAAGAGAAGGAGAGGAAGAAGGTAAGAATATCAGAAAGAAGGAGGAAATGAGACATTGGTGACAGGTAGAAATGAGATGGAGAATAGAAGAGGAAAAGGAAGATGAAGAGGAGAGGGAGAAGAGGAGAGGAGAGAGAGAAGGTAAGAATATCAGATAGAATAAGGAGATGAATAGGTGATAGGTAGGAACGAGATGGATAGAAGAGTCAAAGGAGAAAATCAGAAGTAGACAGGGAGGTCAAATTAGGAAAGGGGAAAGCCAAGGAATACGACACAAGATAAAAAGCAAAAGAAAGAAGGAAGGAAGGATAGGAGATGAGCAGTGGGAGAGAAAGAAAACACAATAATGGTTAATAAACGTCCATATCTTAAGCATGCACATTCAACGTGCAGTGTACAGGATGAAGGTGGACAGTGCATTGGGGTAGACAAGGGCTCTGAGATAGACACTGCAACCAAATGCCATGCTTTTGAATCACATACTATAGCATCCACTTACTGTTACATCCATTACGAAAATGAATTCTTTTACCTGGAATGCTCAGAAAGCAAGTCTTTATATTTAGATATAAATATGTAAGGGACCTGGGTATTTTTCCCGAAATCGTCATAATTACAAGTTCATCAGCATCCCATTGAAACGCGTGTTAATTGTAATACAAGTGTTTCAATGGGTTGTCGGCGAACTTGTAGTTCTGACGGTTCAGTGAAATGCTGCCCTGTAGATAAGTCCTAATGTGTAAATTGGGGTTAAAACTAAACCCTCATGCAATGGCACAATGTTTTTTGTTTTTTCTTCAAATAAAGATCTCCCTGTTTTGGCCAGCAACCAGTTGTACTACTTCATGCAACTATCTACAGAGTTGTACAATTTATCACAAAGAACTGAAATTGGCAACCCAAAAAAGTAAATCTTCTAAGTGAAGGATTTTGAACAAAGGATGAACTATTCTCTATAATTGCACCATGGGGAAGACAAAAAAATCAGGCACATTTGATAGCTCAGATATTATCAACTTAAAAATAACGTCCATGGTAAATTTAAAATAAACAACCGAAGAGGTACTTTCAAATACAACATGCACCTGCACATTAAATGCTGCACACAAAATATCTACAAATAAAAATACTGTACATCAAACATGGAAAGGAAAATTAGCAATGGGTGCAATTCAAAAGACACATGCAAATATGAAATAACTAAGAATGAGGTGTATCGCAAAATGATAAGTTTCTATCAATGGTGATTCAGATAAAAGTCCCCTTATCGTCACTTTCATCTTTCCTAGTAGTTCTATTTGTTCAGCAATAATCCACTATTTGGAACTTGTGTCCTCGTGGTTTACGGTAAATATTTCCGTTCTGAAACTCTTAATAAATATCAAGCCTATTGATGAAATGATGTAGTATGAATAAATGAAGTAATAGATAAGAATGGTGATTAATTAAATGAAAACAATTTTGATGAATGTATGCAATCAGAGAGCCTAAATGTCTTAAGTTGTCTATCCAAATGCATGCCAAGATTTTAAATTGTCCCAGAAAATTCTGAGAATGTAGGAAGACAAACAATTAGAGGGAATTTACTTCTTTCCTGTAAATGACAAAAAAACTAAAACTATTATCTGTCTGCCATCTTGCTTTCTCTAAAATGCAATCATTGAAACATTTGACAAAGTCGTTTAGAAGAAGGGAGTGAAATGAGGAAATTGTGAAACCTCATCACCATCTACCAACTAGCAAAGCTTACTCATGGATGGCGGACAAAATTTATGAGAGGGCTTGGTCATCATCTATAATGAGCTATTTTGTACCCAAGTTAAGTCCGAAATATGGCATGAAAACAACTGTCAGGGCCAGCAATCAAGTTCTTTAGGACCGCCTACAATGGATGTGTTAAGTACTGGTTGAATTTTTTTTTTTTTTTCATTTATTGGCCTACAAGAACCAAGCAGTTCAAGTCTTAATCCCTAAGGAAAAGAGAGGTTTTTCAATAGTTTTTAAGTTAATTAAAGTCAAACTAATATCAAATCACAATTAGACACTTCAAATAATACAAGTTAATTTGCATCCATTGTGTCCAGCAGTTCAATGCATATTTATTTCTACTGCATACAACTGGCTATTACAATTTCATTTCTTTAATTACAAATGGACCATTTCAAAGCAATTTCGATTTATAAATGTACCAAAGCACAACAAGGATTTTCAAAGCTAGCCTGCACTTTTCCACTACTGCATAAATGATTCGTAAGATCAAACTAACATAACTTAATGCAATAAAAAGCTTGTAAAATAAAAGTTTTGCATTTTCCAAAATTTGGGATGAGAGCAGGAAATGGATCTTTTGTGAATGAATGCAACAATATTGCGATTTGTACTTGGGGTGAAATGATATGAAATGTTTGTGGAAACGAGGAATAAAATTTAATCTGAGGGATATTCCGTGCAATGTATCGCATATGAAATATGTTTTATTTTCCATATATTTCAGCCCAAATGAATAATACCTTGATTTAGCAATTAAATAATGGTATCTTTTGGTATCACTACCATTAGCAATGGTCATATATCAAGAGATTTTTTCATTCGTAAATGAAGGTTGTACAGGAAACATTGCATGGAAGCACCCAAAGATAAAGTGAGGTGAAAAAAGGGATAAAAAGAAATGATTTCCTTTCCCTTTTAAGCATACCTTGAGATTCTTCTATTAGCAAACCAATGAGATGTTCAGGGAAGCAACAAAATTCAAAATGATACAACAATAATTTTCAATTCATAATATATGCAAGATATATTGAGCACAAGACATAGGAACTGCCTACTCTAGTAGCTTGAAGCTGGGGGATTTTTCAGAGTATACATTTTTTTGAGGAAAATATCATGCTTTCCCTTAAGAGGGAATCAAATTCATGCAGAGTAAATTGCAAAAACCAAACTGGGTAAACTTGCGGGGGTTCGAGTGGATGCATGAAAAAACACAAAAATTGATTTGAAAGACCCAGCGTTGACTGATTTTAGTGAAGCTACATGTTTGCTTTGGTGTTTTTGGTTCTTGATTTCATTTTCATAGCAAATGCTCTTTTTGCTGTTTAATTTTGCTCAGGTCAGTTTGCCGAAGCCTTCAGTTTGTTTTTCTTCTGGAGACAGGGCCAGCTAACATCAACTGGATGGATGGATGTTACTGGGAGCTTAAGAAAGAGTAAGTAGGTCTGAAATGTGATATTTTGGAAAGGAAGAGCGGTCCAGCTCTCCGGAGGTTAAAGATAGAAAAAGAACAGAAGCTGTGGAGAGAATTTTGTATGAATCACAAACGCAGAATCTATGATAAAAAAGGATGTTAGAGAAATCTTTAATAAAGGTTGTAAGTTTCAAGGTTGAAGTTCATAAAAGGGGATTGTGATCCATAAATTTGTTTTGATGTGTTAGAAAGTAATTGAATTGAAGAGAGTTGGGAGGAGACATTGTGAAAATGACCATGGGAGATTTGAGTAATGTGTCTACAGTGGAGTGTGAATCGTTAGCATTAGCATCGGATCTTTTGGTGAAGACTTTTGTCCGGCTTGATGCTGTTGCTTTTTATGAGCCGAGAGAAAACAAATCAAAGTGGGTCCTTCACCTCTTCTTCACGATAGATTACCCCGGTGTCTCTCCTCTTCTCCCTCGGCCGTCTCCTGGAGAGCGCTGTACTAGTACCGGTGCTGTTCTTTTTCAGGGCGTCCTGTTCCTTCTCTCGCTCCTTCTCCCGCTCCTTCGCCCGCTCTTTCGCTTCATCAGTTGCTGTGACAGAAGAGAGAAAATGGGTGTTTCAATTGAAGAAGCATAGATAACTTGTAGCACAATACACAAGATATTTGCCAGTGATGTAATAGCCAAAATACATCAACCCCACACACTGAAGACCTATGTAAACTGGACGTGTTTATTACACATATTTTTTTAGGGTTGTAAAAGCAGCATTATAGTCCGTTTACAACAACTGTGGAGTTCCTTAAGGATCAGTCATGGGACCACTCCTATTCACTTTTGTTTGCACACAAAAAAATCAGATTCAGGATATTCTAAAAAAGCATATTATACTATACAAATGTTTCTTTGAGTACTTATGAAGTCAAACTCAGTTTTAAGAACATACCTGATTTATCATCCCTGTTGGCTCTTCCTAGTCTAGCCGTAGCTGTGGGGGTATCGGTCGAGTCTGTGACTGTGCTCCTACTTGGTCGCGCCACAAAGGTCATTGTTTGAGGTTCCTCTGGCTTCTCATCCTGCAAATACAAGGAGAAAAGATTTTAAAATACATTCAGTTTGAAAACCACACAGGAGACATTGATGTATCTTGAAATGGGAATGATATCTATGTGTTCATTGCTACAACCTGTGTGAGTACAATTATATGCTAAAAGAAAAATGATATGGAAATACTTCAAAAAATCCAAATAAACTTCAGAAATTCCTCCACCCAATTAACAACTTGGAAACTCATTCACCACTAACACTCAATACGTCACTAATTCTTCCCCTCACCACATCCACTGACTCTTCCAAATCATTCATGAGCCCCCCTTTCACTCTCCAATCACTCTCTCATCTCACCCACCCACTCACTCACCCAACCCACTCCCTCACTTACACCATCCACTCATACACTCACTTGACACATCCATTCACTTAACCGACCCAGCCACCCACTCATCTCACCCTCCATTCACTCAACCCACATACACTCAGTCATCCACTCACTCTTCCCAATCACTCTCACACTAAACCCATATCCATTCACTGAACCCACCCACCCACTCACCCACACACTTAGTCATCCACTCACATCTTCTCATACCCACTCGCTCTCACAATAACCCCATATCCATTCACTGAACCCACCCACCCACACACTCACTTATCCACTCACATCCTCTCACTCTCACACTAACCCTATATCCATTCACTGAACCCACCCACTCACTCACTCACCCACACACTCAGTCATCCACTCACCCCCTCTCATACACACTCACTCTCCCCAATCACACTCACACTAAATCCATATCTATTCACTGAACCCATCCACACACTCAGTTATCCACTCACCCCCTCTCATACTCACTCACTCTCCCCAATCACACTCACACTAAATCCATATCTATTCACTGAACCCATCCACACACTCACCCACACACTCAGTCATCCACTCACCCCCTCTCATACCCACTCACTCTCCCCACTCACTCTCACACTAACCCTATATCCATTCACTGAACCCACCCACTCACTCACCCATTTGCCCCTCATCTGCTGTCAATTATGTCACTCAAATCACTAAATTACACTCTCTGCCCCTCTCTCCATCAATAAACTGACAGTACATTAATATTTCAAATACAAAATAAAGCGACATCTTTCCATGATGTAAAACCATCAAGACCTGGTACTACCAGAGCTTCAAATCTAGATGTAGATATTGGCATCTGGAGCCCTGTTTCATAAAACTTGTTATCAATAACAAATGTCACATTTCTAAAAACAGATTTGCTTTCAGCCAATCAAATGCAACAATTTCAGTTAGTTCAGTAGCTTGTAATAGCTATTGCAACTTGTTATTGGTAAACAAGTTTGATGAAACAGGCCCCTGAAAACTGCCATAACAGGTACTTTACGAATCAAAGTATAATGGTGATGTCATATATACACATGTCTTAAGTACAATGGTTCATTAGTTTCCATGGCTAGATATCATGCATATTTACATGCCAACTCAAAACATAGATGAAATAATGCACAGATTAATCTTTAAACATATCCTCTCCTCGAAGCCAATAGGCTTAAACCCTCTTCTCTAAAATGAGTTACAGCCTTTCTCATTGTTAGCAGACATTATGCATTGTTTAAATACATTGTTACATAATGGCAAGATCCACGTTTGAATGTGCAAGGCTCCAACATTGCAGTGACATCACCCTTTCTTTTCACTCTATATTAAATGATAGGAGATTCAGCCATTCTCACTCCCATTAGACAATATGCATTGCTTATTAAAAGTAGTCACCCAGGGAACCATAAGTGTTTTGAATTGATGCAAAATTTATATCATTGCGAAGGGAAAACCTTACTGAACAAATATAACAACTTCCCTCTTCAAAAAATGTTTTGGGCCCGCTGTAATCATCTCTCTCTCTCAAAAAAAAATTTTGAGATCCAGATTTTCTGCCTTCAGCGGTCTTCCGTGGAGCGTCAAAATTTGTGACGTCACATGCGAGACTCAGCTAGCAACAAAGCATTTTACGCCTTTCCATGATATCTATATGATTTTTTAGCAAATTATTTGTGTTTTTCAAGAGAAAATCTTATTATCCATAAATAATTTGTCCATAATTATCAGTTGTCGTGAATTTTCTTCGGATGACTACTTTATTACATGATGGCAAGACCACCCAGGCACCCAGACAGTGGTGTGAAGCTGTGACATTGCAGTGAAGATAAAACTTTCTAATCATTGTCTGGATTCTCACAGATATCCTCATTTTTTTCGATTAAAATTCCAACTTGCTTAATTGTTACTTGGTAACCCAGGTTAAAAACAAGCATCTGGAATGATGCTTTTAAGAACCTTTACATGTGTTAAATGCAATAATATCAACATATCAAATAATTAATAAACTAAAAGTGCACTAGAAATTAATTTGGTACATGACACTGTTTTTCCTAATAATAAATAATGATAAATACAGTAATACTACAATTTCATAAGCATATGAAAACATTTTATTCTACATGTATTATACCAAAACATGATAGATCATTTTCGTTCCAATTATTATGTGACAGTGCTTAACGTTTAAAGCAATGAGGTATTAAAGCATGCTTGATTTATGTCTAAGTTTGTGAACTCCACTCATTTTTTGCATTGATTTCGTTGTTTCGAATCCAATTCTCACACTAGCAGATGTAAGCTACGGCTATGCTCTTATAAACTCCTCCCCCTTAAATTCAGAGCTACAAATGAAATGTAAATGGAACGTAGGGCATCTCAGAGCAACATACATGTATCGTGCATCTTTCCAGCAACTTTTTTAGCAAAAGAACTCAACCAATCAATTATAAGGGAAAGTCCACCACTCCTATTGGGGGGATCTACTTGATTGACCAGACAAGTTACCTTGTTAAAAAAGACACGCCTCAGATTTCTCTAAGACCCCTTTTTATCATGCATGACATGCAACTCCATGTTATCCTGCAGAATGATCTATTCGTAAACCTCACCTGGGGGTGTTTCACAAAGATCCCAAGTCAAACTTAACTGTACGTTAGACTTAAACATTATGGAAAGCCATTTGCAGCCTTTAAAAAAAATATATTCAAAAGTGAAAATTCAAGTATTTTAGACTTTTTATAAATTCCTCATCAAGAACATATAATCTCCTTGATAATAAAAAGTATGAATCATTTGAATCAACATTTTATGCCTTTTGAAATAATTTTACAAAATATTTTCATAGATGCCAACGGCTTTCCATAATTGTTAAGTCCAATGTAGAGATAAGTTCAACTTAGGATCTTTGTGAAACACTACCCTGGTTTCACAAAGTAAATCTGGTTTTGTCAAACATTCCTTTTCAGACAGAGCTTTGTTTTTACTTTATAAACAAAAGGCAATCTGTGTGTCATCTGTTTTGAGAAAGTGCTTGTTTATGTGCAATGCATGGTGACTATAAACAGTAGAGCCTCTGAAACATTATGAAGCCAGTTGAACTCATAATAATGCGTGTGACATAATTACATGATGCAGTTGAAATCAATTTTTCATTCTATACACAGCCCTGCTGTTAATTGGCTCATTTCTTGCCACTGATTGCATAGAATACACTCATTCTGCCAAGTCTGCCAATCGGTCAAATAGACGTTAATAAGAATCAAGTGGATCTGTACTATTGATTGGTTGTTGGCTTGTCTGATTCTAACTGACAATTCACCACCAACCTAAAAAGAAATGCACCCAATTTTGATGGGCTGATTTGATTACTTATAAGATAAACACCGAGATAATCTCAGTAAGCTAAAAATAGGACTCATGATTTTACTCAGGAGGTTTTGATTGGTAATCAGTTCTTCACCATTAATGCAATCACAGAAAGCACCTGGATTGGATGTAATAATTAACCATTGCCTAATTTTGCAATCAGATGTGACCCTCTTGATTTTCATTGGTTGTCGGCAGACATAGGTTTGAATGTATGAGCTTGCAATCAACCTTTCGAGTTATTTTTACAAAATGGCCTGTAAATTGTGTTGTTGATGATGCAGTTAGTGACATTGAACTGTATGAAACTTGTTCTTACAAAATAAATCAAAATAAAAGTAAGTCTACATGTTTAGAGTCTATTTAAAAATTGAAGTTCTGGGTTTATCTGGAAATCCATATGTATAATATGTGTAGTATTTGAATCCACTGATGCGAGTAATTTTTGTATTCCTTGTGATGATAATCTTAAACAATCTTACACCAAACCATGACAAAATTCTTTGTTTGTGATAAACCAATTTCAAGAAATATGTTGACATCATTTAAAAATTAACTGTCTGTCATGTCAGTCCTTCAATTTAATTCTCATTTTTAATGATCTATTTTAATAACCAACTTTTTCATGATGTGAATTTCAATAAATATACAGAATTAAAAGTTCATTAATTTCTCCACTCAAAAATGTTTTGTATCCCCAAGCATATCAAAATATCCAGAACTTCAATTTGTTGTTAATAATAATGTGTTGTTAAAAAGTTTACTGTAAAAGCAGAAGATTTCTTGTGCATGAAACATTCGCAAATCCCTCATTTTGTGACAAAATACTAGATTCATAACTGAAAATTGCGAAAGTTTCATGTCACCAATTTCTGGTTTGACAGAACTCTCTCTTCTATGAGCTATCAGCTATCATGGCCCCATCACTATGAACATGACGGACAAAGAAAACAGACAAAATACATGTATACAGTTCCTCATTCTACCCTCAACAATTGCTGTGGTAGACAAAGGGAACGTCCCTTCACTGCTATTATGTAAAAATGTGTAGAACAGGTGACTATGCATGTGACACCTGTTCTACACATTTTTACATAATAGCAGTGAAGGGATGTTCCTTTGTCTACCACAGCAATTGTTGAGGGTAGAATGAGGAACTGTATATTTTGTCCGCTTTCTTTGTCCGTCATGTTCATAGTGCATACAACCTAACATGCGCTTGATATGAAGTAGACGTGCCAAGACGTGTCGTTAAGATTTCTCTTTTATCATTTTACCTTCTTCTCTACCGTAGAGGCCGATATCCTTGGTCGCAATCTTGGCGTTTCTTGCTTATTGTTATCCTGCTCATAGGGGTCAAAGTTCAAACAACACACCGTCTCACTAACAATGAATTTGTTATATACGTTGGATAAAACCAGGACCGGTATTAAATTCAATACTGACGTCAGAAATATGAGTATTCTACTTAGTTTTCGGCTTTAATAGATAAAATACTTGACCAACTTTGGTATTTAGTTCAAGCTTATAGCTAAGTATTTCACCCAAAATTTAAGACAGCTGGCTAGAGACTTGAGCCAATTTTTTGGAGGCCTTCATTGACAGGCATGTGGATTTCTATCGCAGTATAATAACCTGCGCACAATTGTATTTTAATATGCGACACGTTAATTTCACATTATGATTATCAATAAGTATTTTAGCTTAAAGTCAGCTTAATAAAGTAAGAATACTCAGATGTGACCCGAGTACAGACATATTACTAAGCGAAGTAAAATGCTAAGTAAAATACTGACTTCATCTGTGTACTGAATTGAATAAGGCCCCTGATGCCTCTGTTCAGGCTGATTAGTTTTAATTGAGGTAGTAAGTAAACCACTTCACTAAACTCATACAGCATAATAAAAACCCCTTTCCAATACAAATTCAATAACATTCTTCACATTCATGTAACATTGCGATGGAAAAATAATATAAACATCTAAATGATCAATAATTAACACACAGGGGGGTGTCTCACAAAGATCCTAAGTTGAACTTATCTCCAAGTTGGACTTAACAATTATGAAAAGCCGTTGGCATCTTTGAACATACTTTGTGAAAGTTATTTTAAAAGGCATAAAATGTTGATTCAAATCATCCATATTCCTATTATCAAGGAGATTTCATGTTATTGATGTGGAATTTATAAAAAGTCTAAAATACCTGAATTTTTGCTGTTTAATATATTTTATTTTTAGGCTACAAATGGCTCTCCATAATTGTTAAGTCCAACTTAGAGTTATGTTTGGCTTAGGATCTTTGTGAAACACCCCCAGAGGTCATTACTTTGCCTCAAGGAATAGGGACACTGTGAGGGGAATTCTTTTACCACCTTACGTAAGAATAAGCTTATACAACCCTCATAAAACAAATAGACAACTTCATTTATGCCTTAAAAACTGAATGAATCTTTGTCCCTTTACAAATAGTCATTGACATTCTATATCTAAGTTGTTATAGATAAACAACAGTAGGATGAAATTACAGAATGGGTACTCTTTTTTTTCAATTCAATTCAATTCAAATCATTTATTTCCCAATTTTTGTTGAAGTCCAACGTTTTTCTTTTTTTCTTTTAACAATGGCTTTCAGATAATACAACATATATTCTGAAAATATCCTCTTAACAGAGCTACATGTGTGATATCTTCACAATTTTGTCAATAATATGATGTTTTATATCCCATATATATATATATATATATATATATATATATATATATATATATAAAATAGATTTGTAAACAAAGATGTGTAGTGTATACTTACAGCCACTCTGTTATCTTGCGTCTGTAGAAAAGAGGCAAAGAAAATATCCAGACTTTTAGAAGTGATTCAGAAATAACCCAAGGTCTAAAATTAGCACAAAATAAGCATGAAACAGTCAGATGTCCAATATTAGATTTTAGATTAATTTTAGACCATGGGTTAAAATGGGGTTTAAACCATCGGTTAAATTTAAACCTCCTTTGTGAATTTGGGCCAATAAGTCTGAGGAAAGTGCCGAAGTACTTGCATCTCTGTGTATAAACATTGATGTTATGTTTTGATTAGGAATGGACCTAAACATCATAGAAGGACCTGACAGCATTTATCATACTATTTCTTTAAAGTTAATAAATTCTTCAAGTACAGATATAAATGTGTTTCAGGCAGTCGCTGATTGGACATTTAAAGGCCCTATCTGATGAAAATACAACTTTATATCAATTGAAAGCTGAAAGAACGTAGAATAAAAATGTAAAAGAATAAAAAATATTTCCCCTTTCCATATTGCACGAAAGCAAATAAAGACCTCATTTTTCGCACCCTTCCAAATTACAGGTGAACAAGGGTCAAATTTGCCAAAGTTACGGTGACAACATGTCATGTGGACCTGATCGGCTCGCCTATATAGCTGAGGCAATGAGCCATGCTTAATTAATGCAAAGTCATTGTCATTATACACATGCTCCACATAAGATGATGTCATCAAGTTTTTAGGTAGACAACATCCGATTTTCATTCTTCACTTCCAACAGGGTATTTATTAAGATGAGAGTTCTTACCTTGAGTTCATTGCATTTGACGGCACTCTCTATATCTTCTGCTGAAACACCCTGTAGTCATAAAGAAAAGCAAGAAGAAAAGCAATGAGACACTAAGCTTTAAAAGTGTTTATGGTGGTATAAAAGCAATACAGTCAAACCTGCTATAGTGACCACCTGTATAGAAAGACAACATGTCTACAAAGACCACGTTTTTTTGTTTCCCTTGAAATGGTTTTTCATCGAAACATGCTCTAAAGCAACCTGTACATAAAGACCACCTGTTTTAAAGTTCATTTTCCTTGTCTCTCCTGAGTGGTCTTTATGGACAGGTTTCACTGTACATCTTTAGCATTAAGTGTGTATTAATAATGGTTTGACATCTTACTGCAGGTTTTTGTGAACCAGTGCTGAAACATTGCACATGGTTTAACTTTATTTACACTACCGGTACTGTAAATGATGTGTATTAAAGAAACGCTTAGAGGCAATATGCAATTTGCATTATTATTATAACAGAAATGAAGACGTAACCTTGGTATCTTGTAATTTGGTTGGAAAGGGGGCATAGCTGCAATTGAAGTTGCTTCAATTGCAATATACTGACAAGGTCACGATACATACATAATACATGACATACAAAAGAAATACATACAAGAATAATTGATATGATTTAACAATCGTTAACCATGCCAATTACAGTATATTTTGACAAAATTCCCATCCCAATACCTCTATAAAGGCATCATTTAACGATGTTAAATCTGAGATGCACGGCCCTACATGTTATCAGTGTCTGTGATATGGTGCAATATTGAAGCCCAAACAAATTTGTGCTTCAAAATGATCATGAAGTACCTCAAAAAAGTGAAAATCTAGGAGTGACCGGTTTTACCATACTTGTTTTCCCCAATAGACTGTAGTGTTATGAAAACCGTTTGGCAAACGCAAAATTTGGTTTCGATTTCCAATCATAAATATCTTGATAATCAGACAGACGACCGGCTTGTAAAAGTCATGGGGTTCCTGACTGACCTAAAGGTTTATAATTATCATTGCAGCATGAGCTAAATCCAGGATTTTGTTTAAGAATCTGAGTTACCGGATCCCTTTAAAGGTACTATGTCCCTTTTGCATCCAACCTCAAATGCTGTAGAACTTTGCAAGAATTATGAATATGTCATGTATGTCCTATCTGTGAAATTTAAACATTAGCAGTGTCCTCATATTCAAATTATCCAAGGAAACCTGTTTACTTGCTAGACTTCACTGTCAGACACTATTGAGTGATTGACTGGCTTTTTTTCTTCTTTGGTAATAACATACATGAAAAGAGTTGTAAAGGGTACATGAGCATTTGTCTACATCAATAACCCACTTCTTGTGATGGCCAAGATTAAACTGATTGAATCTTTGCGCAGCATAAAACGTATGACCATTCGGTACAATTGTCTGAAAATCAAGACTATTACTTTTGGGCTCTATAGCCCTAAAGTCGATTTGACAACTAATAGTCGTTATTTTCCCACTTGAAGACATTTTCAAGCCCCATCTTTTTTAGGGAAGTTCTAAATTAGTATTATCTTTCAAATGCAGTTGGAATTTAACTTTTTCATTTTTTTGGCCTGCAAATGGGACATAGTACCTTTAACTAATAATGAAACTTATTAGCTTGACTGACCTGCGTTGATCTCCTACTTGAACGTTCCCTCTTTGCCCGCGCTTTCCTCTGTGTTTCCGACTCCTCCTCCTTCGACGGTGTCATGATCGACCTAGAGGGGGTAAGAGGTACGAAGAATTATTATCAGCCGAGTCACTTGGGAGTGCCTTAGACGGTATCATCAAGTTAGAGCAAACGTTGACTACTACTATTGGTTCTAGGTTAAGCCTGCTGGTTTAGATCACAAGAAAGGAAGAACAAGGGGGAGTCCAACTTGTTTGGCGGACGTTACATATGCAAGGTTGGTTTAATAGCAGAATGGAAGGTCCAGTTTGCAGCATGGTCTGGCAAGCTGTGAATTCGGCATTGACCGCTTGCTCCCTCATTGGTCAGTCGACTATACTTGCAAACTATCGTTCCTGGGACTGGTATAACCCATGCACTACAGCCCCACATATTGTTCTACACCAAACCTTAGTACAGTTGATCTGCTTTTTGCAGTCCGATTCTAAAAGGGTTAACATCGACAACATGCACTATTGAAATCATAAATTGCCAAAATTAAAGAGACTGGAAATATTATACAATGTCATTCCTAAGAAGTGTTGCCACACGTTTGGTTAGTAAGATAGCGGCTTTTACAACCTTGAGTTGGTCGGTTCATTGATATAACCATGTCTGGTTTTAAGTTGTATAATCAAGTGACAAATCTGTGAATCCTTAGCACTAGTAGTATCTTGATTTAAATAACAAATCTACATTCAGAACTAATGCAATCAAATGAACAAAGCCTATCAATTCGAGTGTTAGAAGGGTATAAATGCCTTGTAAACTTTACACGGCACTTAAGCCCAACAAACACTCAACGGACAGTGCAACCCATGCATAACTAAAAAAGAAATCACAAGAATGATCGACACAGCAGAAAGCTCGTTATCAACCAAAAAATGGATGTTGCAAGCTCCGATTCTAGTCATGATTGTAGAAATATCTTTTAACAACTCTTTTAGACGTAAGATTTTTTAGTTGGGATGGACAAGAATTTAGCCATTGCAATAAGAAGGTGGTTTTGAACTTGGATATTAAAGAAAATAAAATGTACTGAAGTCAAGTTAATGATGCATCAATCTCATTCAGTCTTGGAGGTTTGAAAACAAAGGAAATAGCGCATCTATCAAACTACTACTGGCTAATTTCCACAAAATTAAAAAGCAGTAAAAATCTAAATCAATTTTTGCTAATTTAGTTGTGCCCGGTCATCTAAAAGCAATGGGGAATTTTATGTTACATCTTCCTCAGTAATGTTGGTTAAAAACTGCATGAAACCAGTTGAACCTGGTTGAAACTGCATGAAACCACTTTGGCAAGAGATTAATCTGACTCAAACTTGTTTGTCAAGAAAACTTTAAAGGGCATCTGAGCTAAATGACACTGCCAATTAAACTGCACAAAACCGGTTTAAACCAGATTTGAGGATTGTTATGATACCTTAACATGGCAGAGGAGACTGGATACTGCAGGTCTGATCCGGTTGATGGTGGATTTCAGTAAAATATCTACGCTACGTTATTCAACCAGAAGGATTGCAAAACTGGACGGCAATACCATGCCATTTTCTCATACTCAAAACGTGAAACCAACCATGAAATGTGATTAGTGTTCAATCATGAGGTTTTGATTGTCTGAATGAGACCGTTACGGGAGAGAACGTGGGGGGAACATGAGCATGATATGAAGGGAGTGGGAACATTCGTTTCCACTGAGAGTAATGACGTTTTAAGAAACGTAGTACGTGTACTGTTCGTATTGAGATGGACGGTATGGATTATAACTGATGTTTGTATCATAACAAATTAAAAACCCACGTCATATGCTTGACTAATACAGGTGGCCGAAGAACAAGAATGTAAGAGTGCAGTGACAATTTAGGAGATTTTATGAGCTCATGAAAAATATAAAATAATGCTCGAAATATAGCATATATACGATGGGTAGGGTATTCATGGAACTTCCAATGTGCAACCAAGTGTGATATATAAGTGAAATATAATGTAAGAGTCCTTGTGCATCTATTCCCTTGATTTCTTAGACAATCAAATTGATGTTTGGAAGAGGATGCTACATGTATAGATAGCAAGGTATATATATATATATATATATATACACTGTATGTGATGAATCAATGACTGAGAAGTAGTTAGCATCCCCAAAATATGCTGGGTTGTCCAATTTTAATTGTTAAGATGGGAAAAGGATTAGGGGAAATTTGGTTGAAGACACATATTTGGACAGATGATATTAAATGTTACCAGGAAGAATATATCTTGAAAGTACCTCATGTATAGTTTATTTATATTATTGTCTTAGTAATTTTGAATAGGAATACACATATTGATAGAGTATCTTAGGGGTTCAAAATTAATTTGAAAGTTTAGGTCTTGTGTAAAATTTTGATGTAACTTGGGGTTACCGGTATGTTATATTATCCGCTGAAGGTCTTTTAAAAATCTTCAGTCAATTTAGTTTTCATGCGGATTTCATTAAGTTTCGTTCAATTAAATTTGAGATAATATAAAACTAATTGCTTGAATCTTTTTACATGGCCGATATATTTAAAAACAATCAATGTAATCCTGTAGATTATTTCAAAATAATGATGCATTCTATTCCATCACCTTTGTCATTGGTAGGTTGAAAAAAAGTGACAGACATTCTAAAGAATTGTCCTGAATTAGGTCTCATTTTGTATCGAAATTAGTAGAGGTTGAAGTATCTAGCCTTTGGGGACACCAAATCATACCCTAAATCATAAGAAGAGGTGCACTGTTACATGATTATATAAATACTTTCAGATTGGGTCTCATTTTCCATTAAAAATTGTATAGGTTGAAGAGTCTAACCCTGAGGGACACCAGATTGTACCCTTAATCTATTAGAGGTGCATTGTTACGTAACCTTTACCCCCTCATGATGTTACCTTCGTGATGATGGTACCGTGGTGGTTGCAGAGCTACCCACGGGGGTGTTATTATTGCAAGTGGTGGAGGTGGTATCGTTGGTAGTACTAGGTGTTGTGATCGCGCTGGGAACGCCCCGGTCCCGGATAGTGCGATCCCGGGCCGGCTCCGTCCTATCCTGATCTGTGGTAATCTCGGCAGCGATACGGCGCCTTCCACTTCCCCGCGGGGAGGGGAGTATCACCTCTCTACTCGGAGGGATGGGTTTGGTGATTTTGTTTTTGTTGGAGGTTTAGATATGAGAGTTATGTAAGAGATGGTGGTGGGGGAGGAAAAGGGTAAAGGAAGATGATGGTTAGATGTAAACACACCCACAGCATAAATAACAACAGGATTCCATAAACACAGAGAAATGTGAAGCAAAAGTGTGGGAAATATTTCCACATGAGATATAAATAAATAAATATATATATATATATATATATAAAATGGAAAATATGTATGGAGTATATGATTTAACCAGTTATCATTAATAGACCAATGTTAATAACCTTTACAAACCGAGATTGGTTCTGGGAATTATAAGAAATGGTTAGTAGTTTATTCATCCTTCTGGTTTACGTTTTTTAAAACTTGGGACGTTTTTAAGTTTGGCTTTCACAATAAAAACGTTTGCCTTTTAACCATATTGCCTCTATCCATGAATCTGTTTTGTGTGTTTGTATTTCTAAAGATGCAATATACAAAATCTTTTGTTTCTTCACCAAATCTAAAACATATCTGAGAGAATAGTCGATTGATTTTGTTGTTTTGCTTCACAAATCTATCTACAGACTGAAGTTATTCAAATCATGTACTGAACAAGATGATCTGTCATGCCTTTAAAAACATCATGCACAAATGTTTCAAAATCCATTCCAAAATCTAATAGGTCAATCTAAACTTGTAATAAACAAAAAATCAATAGATGGTATGAACACTCTGTAACATAAAAGGAATATTCCATATCAAAATGGGTTTGAACACCTCAACAGCATGGGAGGGGCATTCAAACACAGCAATTAAACTTGAAAATACAACCCTTGGGATTTTCTAGCAAGAGTACTTACTTATCGTACGAATCTTACAACAAATATTGTACTTCGGTCGATTGGTTATATAGCTTAACCCCTGGAACACCAAACCCACATCTTCATATTGAAACCACACATAAATGCATTTTCAATGAAACTTTCACACAAACAAAACACAAGTGGGTTAAATTCATGTTGGGAAATATGCAAAGATGGCTGGATAATTGAGTATGATCACGTTTGGAGTTTGTAAATGATTTCATGTGGTCTCAATGAGAAGAAATGAGGGTTGGATGTTCCGGGTTAAACCAGTTTAAATGGTTTCACTCGTAAAGATGTACTGGCTCGCAGACAACACTGCCCTCTACTGTCAGTTCTTCATTGTGCAATGATATTGAAATGAAGCAAGCAAATATGGCTCTTGTAACTGTCTTTGCAGACTGGTATCATTTTTCACTCCTTACATGGCAAACAATGAGATAGAGAAATGTCCTATAAACTTGGTTCCACACTTCCTTCTTATGCTAATTAAAGAGATAATGGGAAATGCAGGGTTTTCAAACTACATATTTTTTCCTATCAAATTCTAATGGTTAAAACTATTACAAAAAAAATTGAAATCAAATAGTTAAAAATAATAAACAGCACCCGTTGAACTTTGTCTCGTACATCAAAAATGAAAAATACAGCAATAGATGAAAAAAAAGGACTACATGAAAGCAAGAACAAAGCAAATAGCAATGTATATATTACAGTATGATGTAATAGATGACATACTGCAGAAAAAAAAATAGAAAATTGATCAATTTGCGGGAGGAAAATACAGTAGACAGGAAAATTTAGAATGGAAGAGGCCTTGAATGCTCAATTATTCCTTTAGTTTTACAGTAAGGAGGGTTGCGGTTGGAACGTTCTAATATGACTCATTATCAGATGTAAAGAGTTAAAGAACTTGCATTGCGCCTAGGATTTTCAATGTTTATTTTTCTACAGGACTCCCATGAAAATTTGAGTTGTATTGCATATGGTTCAGTAGAACCAATGGTATTAAAGAAAGATATTCAATAGATTTTTTGTAATATAATGACGATATTGGAAGCGATCTTTTGAGATCCTATAAGAATTGTTTTCATCAATGATAGAAGAGGATATTATTTTTAAAATCACAATTAAAAAATTTGAATATGGTGCATGTATTTGATAGACGTTACAAGCAAATGCAGGCCAAAATGATCAACGTGAAAATAATGTCCAATGGATGTGATATAAACAAAATATGGTTATGGATGGTAGCAAAAGAATCTGAAAATATGACTTCAAAAAGGGGAGGAATTTATTATTTTGAGTAGGCCTATTTATGGGTTTATGAATGTGGGTGTGGAGGAAGTCATTCAAGGATTTGTGATGAGTAAATTTCAGGCTTCAATGAGGTGGAATTTTGTTCTCCTTTTCTTTTGGTACAATGACAAAAGAATCTTTGAAAATTCTTTGACTAAGTTATGCCAATCCCCTACCCTTTCTTTTATTAGAGACAAGGCCATTGTTGGAAATTATCTACCTGTTTCTTGCCAACATTCAAACACATCGCTATGTCAAGCATGCTCAAACTCTCCATAAGAGCTTACCCGGCATAGCGCAATCTAATCTCAGTCTCCACATGGCAGACCAATTACTTGTCTTACAGGTTAAAATAAAGTGGCCTAAAAGATGTCTTCAGATTTTTCCCGAGTACCATGTTACTTGGCGTGGAAAAAATGGAGGTACTTAACTGACCAAAAAAAAAAAAAAAAATGCAGTTTGAGCTTATTCATTAAAACTTGATTTGACAAATTAGTGGTCATACTGTATTCTCAATTACCCTACAGGCGCTTAACTTTGTATGAAGACTTTCATTTGAAGAAGCTTTTTAAATATCTTGCATTTAGTGATATTTCATCATGTAAAATTGCCCCAACACCCACCCCACCCCCTCATGTAATACATATGATCCATCTTGATACATTTGTTGTAGGGATGTGAACCTTAATTCTAAAGAGGTAAAAAGAGGAAGGGGAGAAAGTCATTTCAGAAAGAAAGCAAAGCAAGAATACATGATCATCAGTTCGGATCAAAACAAGAAAATAAAAAGCTGAAGATTGTTTCCTCAATCTTATGGGTTACTCTTCTCAGCTTACAGCTATGAGAAAGAAGAATTTCAAGCTGTTAGCTCGAGAAACATCTTAATTTCCCACTATTTATAAGCAACCATTTGAAACATTTTAAATGAAATTTCTGAATTATCAGGGTTATCCCCACTTTTGTAATCTAACTTTCACATGTAACATGACAGCAAGAGAAATAATCTGCTTTACAATTACGGAAATCTATGCACATTGAAGAACTTTCTTACAGGACTGACAAAGTCGTTAAATTGACAATACTTGTCTACAAACAAAATTGCACAAAGAAAGAGGCCTACTTGCATAAATGCATACAATACAGACCTCAAGAAGATACATTGCACTTAAATAAGAATACTTTGGCAAAGACTAATTGAATCACCCTTTAAAGACTATATTTGGTACAATTCATGACATTATTGCTGCTACTGTCCAAAATGGCAAATAAATCAACAAGATTTGTACATCTAACAGAACTTAATACACTGGATGAACGAAACTAGTGCCAAGGCCACCCATGTAATACAATAATGATATCGCTAAGCAATTGCATATTACTTCGATAAATTAGCAGGGGCCAAGCAAGTGACTTCCTGTGAAAGAGAAACCACACCACACCCAAGAGGACCGGTTGGGTGATGCTCTCCATCTGGGAAGGTCCTCTAATGACCGATGGAGGGAGAACTGCGGAGAGAGCCTTCGCTCGATGCATCAAGGGATGTCTCTCGCAAGGTCCCGACTGTGTTTAGGGATCCATCCTTAGATGTTTCAGGCCTCGATTCTTGTTTGGTAATAGATCGTGAAATGTAGCCTTCAGCGATGCGTATGCAACGTGTTTAGGGAGTCATCCTTAGATGTTTCAGGCCGTGATTCTTGTTTGGTGTTAGATCATGAAATGGCCTTCAGCGATGTGTATGCAATGTGATTGTATGTCAGCACCCACTTTCAAAGTTCCATTCTGTCCTGCAGTATTTGCCATCACCAAAAAGTGGATTCTACCTCAAGATGACTATCAAACAAGGAATTCTTGAATTGAAGAATGTACTCTAGGTGGAAGACAAGCTGTTTGAAATCCAAATGCAATTCGGAAATCGCTCCATGGGAGGACTTCCCAAGATTGAGGACTGCTGTAGATGCATTTCCTTGTCCAATACTTGTCTTTAGTATACATTCTAAATGATACAGCTGATAAACATGGACTACAGAACATCTGCAAAGTATTTTCCAGACCAGCCTTCATTGGCTATGAGCAGTTCATGCTCATTGTTTAAGCACATTAACTGTGTTAGCATCAGTCAAGATAGCAGACTTCTTTTTGGCTCGTTCTTCATCTGGAAAATACAGCAAATTTCTGATTAATGTCCGATTGTTTTTTAAGTTGAGAAAACTTGTGTTGTCATCTCACTCTACAGTTTGATGTCAGTTATGATAATGTCTTCGATGCAGACTCATCTTGAAGATCAATGAAATGATTTTACAGCTGTTTTCAGAATGCTCTTGGAGTCTTGGTGTCCATACACTGTGGTGGAAGTCTAATGAAGACCAAGTTCGATATGATGATGATAATGATGATGCCAAAGGGTGACAATGGCTCGTTGATTTGTTGAATCTTAAACTGTTCAATTCCGTATCAGCAGCACTGGACTGCTTTTTGTGAACTGCAGGACAACCAAGAGGGCCTTCAGAGACTTCTCAGCTCCCTTTGTTGGTCAAATAAGGTTGACATAAAGAGGACTTGAGCTATAGATCCTAATGTACGAAGACACCAGTTGTCCTACAAGCTAGAGATCTGTCAGAGTAAGCTACGAGTGGCTTCAGTTTGTGGCACCTGTTGTTGGCGACATTAAGGTTGGCATGAAGCTGTAGATACATGGACACCCACTAGCCATAAAAGCTGAGGATACAACAACTGCTTGGTTCAGCCCGATAGAAAGGTTGCAGACGTTTTGATGGGCTTTGTGTTGAACCAATGAAACCTGACATGCCAGGTCAGTTTTACAGTAACTGTCATGTAAACTAGATGTTCTGATGACGACCTGAAGCATTTATATCAGAAGATAGTGTATGTTCAGATTGAAAGTGTGACTAGACTGTTAGATTCCGAGCCACTTGATCTCTGAGCAACAAAAAGATAGTATCCTTTGATCAAATGAAGATCCTCTTTCATAGATTTACAGATGATGGTGATGAACTGCTTTTGCTCTGCAGAACTTTGATGCACTCTAAATCCAAGAGGAAGGTCGTTGACGAATGATGTAGAATAAGAACTTCTCCATGAAATTGACTTCCTAGTGTTTGATTGCTATTTTTTTCTCATGTCAAATAGCATACACCTGGATGACACGAAAGATGTATCCTTTTGGATCCTTGTGAGACATGTTCAGGACTTGCGTCGCAGATCCGTATAAACAATGATTAATTTCTCTGACGATTACTAAGATGAACACAGCTTCGATGATGTCATGTCTCTGAATACCTTATGCCAAAGTCAAAGGCTCATGGCCACGTTGGTAAATGTTGCCACTGCATATCCTGCAACAAAGTGTCTTTTGGATGTTACAGTCCCATTGGTGTCTTTTGGTGTGTGCTGGCTGATATTCTTGATGGGGACTCCACCCCAAACACAATCTCCAGGGATTGAAAAACATCCAAAGACGCATGGAGCAATGGCTCGTCACTCCAGATTGCCTGCCTCTGGCCCTCAGAGGACCCGCCAGAAACAGAGCAAACGCAGGATGGTCAGGCAATCCCACCAGAAAGGCATAAGTGCCATCTCCACTCTTTGGCACCAAGCTGTCAACGCCTGTACAATTCTCTTTGATTATTTTAAGAATACACACACAAAAGGACAACATTCTAATCATTCTAAAATTTGCTGACAAAAATACATCAACAATTTCTCACAAGTAAAGCCATGAAATTAGAAAGACGATATAAACTGTAAGGCACTTCTTGGACACACGCCCTTCTAGCCGGTTGCCTGACCTGTCCCTATCTTAACTTTCTCCTCCCGGTCCTCTGCAATATGGCATGGTTTTTCCGCACAGGACCACACACAGGGCCACTGCAAATCTTCAACCCGCAGGGCAGGGTGACTGTTCTAGTTTCAGCAATTTGCAGAGGTGCAGTTCTCCGACTGCACAGAAAAACCACACCATATGTGGGAGGAACACAGCTTTGACACAGTTCCACCCATCCAGTCATCGACTTCAACCAACAAATTATAACAATCTCTTTGAATAATAGGAGTAATCTAACCAAATGTTCAAACTTGCAAATTGGCTTTAAATCCAAACTTAAATCCATTCCCTAAATTCTATTTCAGGTCAAATACAAAGGAATACCTTTGATATATGCACACTGTATTCATCTATAGTTCTTTCAAATAATTGCATATATATCTCACAATATCTCACATAATATAATTATTTGAATACTGAACAAGGAAAGTATCATACAGTTCTACTATACAGCTAACATTAATTCGTTCAACAACAAAATTGTGTGAAGAAAGAAGTGATGACATGTATACAGAAATAACAAGAAGTGTAAAACAGAGGTAAAAATAACCGACTCATTTGAAGATTGTGGTGATGAATAAAATGAAGTATTAACCATGATACAATGTGTTTCTTATACGAGATAATATATCACAACAGGCTATAGAGGTATTCTCTGAAGACTCTGACATTAACATAAATCTGATGCAACAGCATTGCATGGAGCGATGTTACGCAACTTCATAGAAGAGCTGTAACGATGCAAGGTGACAGTTTTTCGGTGTGCTATTAAAGAAAGGACTGCTTGTATCAGATTTGTATCAATGTGAAGAGTCTTTCACATCAGGTTAAGAATACCAGACATAGACTAATGGCAAGGGTTGGATGACAAGAAATACATTGACTTGTTTGTAGAATGGTGAATTATCTTTTTTTAATAGGCATCTTTATAACAAACCTGCTCGGTTCCGACTCCACTGTTTTGGTGGAGGAAGGTGGCGCTGGTCGTGTTACCTTCTTGTTCTCCCAGGGCTGTACAGAAGAGGAGACAGAGAAACAAAAAGACAGAGACAGAGACAGAGAAAGAGACGAAGAGACAGAGACACAAAGAGACAGAGAAAGAGAAAGGACAGGAAAAGAGACAGAGACAGAGACAGACAAAGAGATAAAGAGACAGAGAGGAGACGGAGACAAAGATGGAGACAGTGACAGAGAAAGAGACAGAGAGAAGACGGAGAGAGACCAAGACAGAGGAAGATACAAAGAGACAGAGAGGAGATGGAGAGAAAGATGGAGACAGAGACAGAGAAACAAAGAGACAGAGAAAGAGACGGAGAAACAAAGAGACAGAAAAAGAGGCAGAGATACGAAAAGAGACAGACAAAGAGATAAAGAGACAGAGAGGAACGGAGACAAAGATGGAGACAGAGAAAGGACAGGAAAAGAGACAGAGAAAGAGAAAGAGACAGAAAAAGAGGCAGAGACATGAAAAGAGACAGAGACAGACAAAGAGATAAAGAGACAGATAGAGGAGACAGAGAAAGGACAGGGAAAGAGAGACAGAAAAAGACAGAGACAAACAGACAGAACAAGAAGGAGAATATGAGGGAGAAGCAGTAGAGAAAAAAGGATATCAAGAAGAAAAGAGAGTGAAAGAGAAAGAGAAGGTACATACATTTAGTTAGTCATTGGCGGATAAGGCACAGGTCTATGTATATAATGGATAGCATAAACATATACACTGTCAGTCCTTGTTACTTTAATATCTTAGATTCTAAAAACTCCAAAGTTAATCAAATTCTTAAACAAAACAGAAATCAATAAATAAAAGAGGGTAGTGATTAAAGACACATTGTGCAATGTGAGTATAAACGTTAGGAACTGGATTAGGAGTTACTGTAAGATGGAAAGAAGCTCTTTACAAGAAATATACAATTACAGAAGGGCAAAAGGAACATGGGCATTTTCAATTTGATCTATGGATTTTTTTATGGATCCATACTTTACTTTACTTATACTTTAAAAAAAAAAAGTATAAGTAAAGTAAAGTATGGATTTTTGTTTTTGTTTGTTGTTGGTGAAATGCAAAAAAAGAGAAAGAATTGACATACTGCTGGAGGCTTAGTTTCTGGCTTTGACGTTGGTATTCGGGGCGTGGAAGCGGACCGGGCCAACTTATCGGCCTGGGTTTCGGTCTTCTTGGGTTCCGGGACCGTACTGGAACTGGTGGTCTTCCTGAGACCGGTCCTCCAGGCCGGGACTTCTTCTTCTTGTTTCTTGTCCTGCTTGGGAGCCTGCTTGGGAGGGGGCAGCTTGACCTGCGCTTGCTGAGGGGCTAAGGGCTTAGGTGAAAAACTAGGCATCTGGGGGGCACAAAGAGAGAGGGAGAGAGGTGGAGAGGGGGAGGGAGGGAGAGAGAGAGGAAGAGGGAGGGGAGGGGGAGAGAGAGGGAGGGGAGGGGAAGAGAGAGGGGGAGGGGGAGAGAGAGGGGAGAGGGGGAGAGGGAGAGAGAGGGGTGACAGAGAGAAAGAGAGAGAGAGAGAGATGGGGATATAGGAGATGAAGAAAAGGAGAGGAGATAGGCAGTAAGAGGTAGAGAATAGAGAAACAATGAAAAATTGGAGTAAAAGAGGGAAATAAAAAGAAGAGAGGGAAAGAGAGAAAGAGGGAGAGAGAGAGAGAGAGAGAGAAAGAGAGAAAGGGAGAGATAGGTAACAAGAGAGGAAGGTAAGAGGAGGAGAAAGGGGAGGACAGGAACAGGTAAACAAAACAAAATAAGTTAATCATTATGTTCACAACAAAATAGTGCGTCCACATCTTTCTTCAGCCAGGCTTACAGAAGCCCAGCTTTCTTTTTAGTCTCTCACACGACTGCTAAAGTTACCACCTCTAACCATCATTACAAAAATACTTCTCCTCATAGATTTCTCTTTCTTGGTAACCTACCAGTACCTATGCACAAAAAAAAATTCTGTCCTTGAAATCTTACATCTTCTCAGACAGCCATCTGTGTAATGTAAAAGTAAAAGTACAAACTTAAAATAATACCCTGTATTCTTTTTCTTGGGGATTCTCTCTTTCTAGAATATATCATTTGGCTCAGATTGAAATGATAATGAAAGTCTGTTGTGATATGTTTTGTTAAAGTGAGTAAATGCCCCCAGTGAAAAATGCTCCTGCTTGACCTAAGAGACCAAGAGTCAAAGGATGACCTTACAAATATTTGGACTGTAGGCCGGGCTGAAACTAAGACATCAATTCATATTGTCAATGAAATGAACAAAGTGTAAGTAGAAAGTGTCTTCAAACGGGATTCAAAGTCAGATCAAACTTGAGAGGAGACAAACTGAGTAAATATCGACAACTGAGTAAATATTGACAACGGAGGAAGGTAAAACCACTGCAAGGGATGGTTCTTCAGAAGAAACCTTGAGGCAAAAGCTCTCATTCACTCTTTTCTGTATACAAGCATAGCTAGCAATTTCATGAGGGATGAGCAATTGTATCATCTTTATACCTGTAAAAAAAGGAATACAGGGGAATGGACAACAATTTTTAATAGCTACCGACAACTCCAAAAGCGATCTAGGAGCATAAACAGATCTGTGAAAACTGAAAGGATAAAACAGGGAACTATGGTTATAAGTCCTGTCCAAGGTACAAGGTTATTGAGCAGTATTGCCTTGACTTCACTTCAAGTCACTATGGCACTACATTGGTTTTGAACCCAGAACCTTACTGTTTCAAGACCATCGGTCTAAGCACTGAGCCCTCCCGGCGAAATCATTGTGAATTCTATTTCGAACATCGTCAGGATTTTCTTTGATTAAATGAGAGTCAATCTCAGGCAAATGCTTCAAGGGAAATACAAGGAGCATGGATATTCCTCAGAAAGGAAAGCGATTCTTAAAGGGAGATGGTCATCAAGTTTCCATGGGCAGAAGGCCAAAATTCGCTGACACCGAGCTTGGTGGAAATACCATTATTGTGTATTCAAGCCTGCACACAGCTCACCCGTAGACCATTTCCCCCTTTCTGGTGAAGGAAAAAGCAAGATAATGACTTTATCATAAGTGGGAATGGATGGAAACTACAAAGCATTACATAAGGCCTGTTGGTCATAAAACTGAAGGCTAATCCTGGTGATTGACAAAACCTGTTTTGGGGTAAACACCCGAATGAATGGTGTCAAATTCCCCATGAGAGCCGTTTTAAAAAAGTAAATATCAGACTGGATTGAAGTCAAGTTATTCCCCGATAATAGAAAGACCTGGAGCAATAGTCAATATCTCCAGAACACAAGTTTAAGATCCGCCTTCAAGGATGCATTTGAGTCAAAGTGCAACATTCTTTTTCTGCGCGGTTTGCGGTCACACCGCATATTCTTGTCGAATTTCAAAAAGTGGGCACTTTTCAGGGCCATCTAACCCTGTTGAAATAATAAATGGTGTATTAAACAGCAAACCTGGCTCAAATCTATCCTAACCATGGAAGCCTTCAAAGACTGTAACATTCTTGGTCCTAAAAAGTTGCCAATTTTGTAATGGGTAAATGATTCAAAAAAATAAAATAAATAAAACCTCTTTTCTATCCAACCTTTAAAACCACTGTTCACTGTTTAGGGCCTGAAGCTCTCTATAGAATGCCTAAATCCATCTACATATCTGGACCAATTGTCAAAAGTGCATTTTAATTTACAGTTCAACATCCTCAATTCAAAAAGGTTGCCAATTTGCAATGGTTGATGTGGATAGTGATTTAGCTTTGAACCATCTCTTTGACATCCAAACATAAAAAACGGCTGTTTAGCTGAAATCTGGGAGCCTTCCTGTATAAACTAGACAGCTGTGAGCTATAGAATAATAATAATAATAATATTGGATATTTATATAGCGCACATATCCCCCATGAATGGTGCTCAAGGCCCTCCAACTATTACCCCGGCTCTGTTTAATAGGCAGCCGATTTCAGATAGAAGACATTGTTATTACTAATGTTGCTATCACCATGATTATTATCAGCATAACACACATTCCCACTATTGTTTATTTATAATAAATTGCTACTGGTATTTTCTAAAAACCTGAAACGCTGTTTTATTTTCCGATCCTCATGGTTTCTGTTGGTCTATAACTACTGTCTCAGCCTACGACTCTTTTGCTACAAGCAAGATACCATAAATTCCATGATAATGTAGCAGCGAAGTACCATTGATTTCATTTTGTTCTTCTGCATGTGATACTGTTAGGATTAAATACAAAGTATGTGCGAGTGTGTTGATTAAACTGCGTAACATTAGATTCAAGATTTCTAGTCGGATAGGCTATAAGAGAAGTGTGCAATCCATATTAATAAATTCAACTATCAAAAGCAAAAATGAAATAATAGCATGCAAACTCATGGAATATTCAAACTACACCACGCCACAGTAGATTCAGTGTTATTACGACATGGTTCATGCCTACAACAAGAGAGAGAGAGGGGAGATAAAAAGAGAAAACGGGTTGCCAAAACAAAGAGAGAGAGAGAGTCGGCACACAGCCATCGACACAACAGAGAGAGAGGGGAACTCGACTCGACATGAAACAACTTCAAATGACTTCATAGACAGACGTGGACGTGATTTTCGTACAACGATTACAAAGAATTCCTAGGACTGTCGAAGGGGAACCATCCATCAGAACAGTTCGGAACCATCCACTAGAACAGTAAATGTTAATTTAAACTGTTCTCTGGAATTTGAAAACTTACAGACAGTACACCATGGTTGAAAGCTAACAAATAATTTCACCTGTATCTAAATAAATACCTGTACATACTTTTAAATGCAAGTCAAACTGCTTGAACGATGTATGCGTTGCTGTTTTCTACTTACAGCACTGTAGAAAAGAAACAGTTTCTACAAAAATTGTTCACAGCAAAATGTGCTGTATGCATACATACAGGGCTGGTCTCTAAATGGCCACAAATTTTGGAAATTGGAATTTGGTTGGTCACATTGAGTAATTTTTCTATTTTGAATCAAATAAAAAAGATTTTTGGACAACATGGTTGCTCTCCACTTACTGGCCAAGTTCTACTCTTTCTACATTGCAGTGTTGCACAGCTGTACGCTTTAAGTGTCCTTATAAGTGCAATGCCAACACCTATTAAGTGCTGTGTAGCGACAATTCTACTTTAGCACTGAACACCTCTCATTCAAAGATGGGTGTTAAGTTCACAACCTCGCTTCTACATGAGGATTAACCCCTGCTATTGAATAACACTTTACACCTTACAAAATTAACATCAACACTTCATGTGTGACTTTCTAAAATCTCATTAAACTGTTACTTCAAAATACATTTACTTCTAAATGTGCATCTATTTTTTAAATAATTTTTACACTTTGTGTAAACAGCTATAATCATTATGCAAATAAATTAAAAGCTGCAAGAATTTTTCTCTGCTAATTCACTTCATATTAAACAATCCAATCACTTCATTGGGAAAGCCCCCATAAAAGGGGAAGCCCCTACAATTTGTAATGGGGAGATCCCCTATAATCTCTCTATACAATCCACATGTATACACATTTTTAAAAATTCAAATCCTTATCAAGCACTCAGTTTGAAGCTTTGAGGCGCAATAAATGTCTATTCTTGCTACCTTCTCTGCTAATTTTTTCATATTACAAGGAGTTATGTTAACAAAGTTCTGATTGCGTTTAGAATATTTTGTTCCCAGTTATTTGCTTGAGCCTGTCGCCCGTGCATTTCTACGCATTACAACTGTAGTCTTTTCTAGTAGCATATTAGGTGTGGTGGGATGTGATCCGATGGCTTCTGCTAAATTGAGGCTGTGCCTAGCTACCCATCAGGGCTGTTAGGTTCATTACAGAAGTGAAGAAGAAAAAAATGACAAAATGAATAAATCTTACTTTCTTCCAATGCTTTGATGAAAGAAGAAGAAAAAATAAAAAATGTAATTAATGAATAGATTGTTAAATAGATCATCAATGTAATCCTATACTCCCTTACAGCTCCCCACCCGAAATGCTACATAATAACTTGAAGACTTCAATGGTACTTTAGACCATGATATGAAAAATAGGTACTTTTGTTATTCATTCTATTAATTGGATGGAGAAGCATAATGTAGCTTTGTATTTTGAATGGTAAGTAATTGTAAGAATCTAGACTTCCTGGGCATGTTGCAAATGCTGATAGATTCATCATCAGGCAATCAAATCCCATTGTAATTCAGCCTAAGTAAATATGGAATACAATCCCCCATACTTTAAGAAAGAACTTGAAGCATGCAATCATATTTTAAGATTATAATGAAAATAACAAATAATATTTGATTATTTATTGTATGGTTTGTAACAAGCACTGAATGCTTCTCTTGAAATATTCTTTTAATCTACTCTGTATTCTAGAGGCCACTCAAAATTACGTCAGATCAAATGCAAGGATGAATCATCTGAAATCTAACTATGTCAACCATTACAGACCTAAATTTCAATGTAACATTTGTAATCAAACCACTACATCCCGACCCTCGACCCTCAAACTTTGATCCTCACCCTTGGAACCTTTCCATTTAGACCCAAAGACTAGACCCTTATCCTTAGACCAAAATCTGACTCAAACCCTAGACCTTAAACCACAGACCTTAAACTCTTAGGGCCAGATTCTACTAAAATTCTAACCCTATGGCTGGCTCCAACTTTTGTTCAAAATCATTTAAGGAATTTATTCTTGGGTCTAGATTTTCCTGTCTCATATAATCTTAGACCCCGACTTGAGTCTTACTGCAATAATAGAATAAGGACCTTTGACTCTAATCCATGAGGCTTAACCTCTGACCCTAGTTCCAAGACCTTAACCATTAGACCTCAACGCTCTGGACCCTGACTCTGAGGTAAGGATCCTATCCTTAGTCCCTGACCTTTAGACCTCATAGTTTCTGGACCCTGACTCTGAGACCCTACAAGGATCCTTCTTATTCTTAGACCCTGACCTTTGAACTTAACAGCTTAAAATGTAGCTCTTATCATCTAGTCCCGAGACTGTAGCCCAAACATGTGCTCTTGGCATTTAAAATAAGAAAATAAGACTAAGGAACAAGCTATTTTACTTCTTTCTTTGATGGGACCATACATGTGCTACTGGCATTTAAAAAAAGAAAGACTAAGGAACAAGCTATTTCACTTCTTTCTTTGATGGGACCATACATGTGCTATTGGCATTTAAAGAAAGAAAGACTAAGGAACAAGCTATTTTACTTCTTTCTTTGATGGACTGGCAGGTTGAGGAGTGATCGTGGGGCGGCCGAGTCTACTGTTGACCTCTACTGGCCTTCGGCTTGGGGTCGGATTCTTGTCACTGTTCTTCTCCTCTTCACTCTCTTCCTCCGAACTTTCCTCTTCGCTTTCGCTCTCCTCTTCGCTAGAACTCGACGATTCCATCGTCTTCTTGACCTGAAAAACATTAGAGAATGCACAGAGATGGCAACTGGGTTAGAACATGAACTGTTTGACTGATTTTAGAAAAGTTAATTTGACAGTCTCGGACTGAAAGTTGACGGCTTCACAAGCGACATCATAAAATTTGTCGCTGGTTTCGCAAACCAACGTAAGCGCATCGTCCTAAGTATGCAAGTTACATCGGTTTGCGAAACTAGTGACGAATTATGGTTAGCCACCCCTAGATGAATGTTGTAATTTCTTGCCGATGTTGGCAAGATATATAAAAACCTTTGTAACAGAATAGGACAGAAATAAATAATTATTTGCATTCTACAGTATCATTGTAAAACAGAGCTAAATTCTACCTGTCAAATACGCCAGCTAGCAATATCCCTCCCCTTTCTCATTCTCCCTCTCTCTCTCCATCTGTTCATCTCTCCTCTCTCCATTTCTCAACCTAGTTTCCCCTCTTATTCACTTTCTCTCTCTCTATTTCTATACATGTCTCTCTCTCTCTCTTTATATCTCTGCCTCTCTTCCAATAGCTCTGTAACTCTCTATTTTGTCTATCCGACTCTCACTCTCTGTCTTGGTTCCAATCTCTTTCCATCTACCTCCCCCCCTTCCCTCCCTTATCACCTAAAACACAAAACCTGTATTGAAAAGGCGTGACACATTGAAAATAGGTACAGTAAACAATGCTCTGCATAAGAATTGACATCAAGTCATCAGAAAACACTCCTCGAAGATCATATCCTGTTCATACAAATGATTATTAAGTTTCAGTTGAATTGTTTTTCAACACTATGTAACACTACTTTACATGACATAATACCGCTCGTCTTCCTCTACTCAAAAATTGTTCCGATTACACCTCTTATATTCATAAATTTCTTCAATAAACCACATGTATTATACATTGCAGTCATTTTAAATAAATAACAGATATAATGATGGGTAAATAACTCAATGCCATCATATCCAAGAGGAAAGTGATCACTATTTCTATACCATTCTCCTTAATATTGTCTCCTACAAGCTTGCTACTACACCCTAAAGTACATTGAATATTGTGTCAACTGAAAGTATATGCTACTATATTGAACATACAGCATAGTCGAATGATCCATAGCATTCTAGTATTTGCAATCTAGCACTGATTTCAAGTATTTAAAAATTACTAAAGGGGACAATTTGGAGGGGTCAAATACTTTGTTCGTTTCTCCGAAATCCGCAGGAAAATTACCATTACACCGAACAGACAGTGATGCTGTGCTTAATTCACTGGAAATAGTAGACAGGTATTGACACGTCAGATGATTGAATTCTAATTAAATAAGTTGCGGAATTATTATATTTTACTAGCTTCTTAACAAAATCACCATTTGAAAGACCTCTCAAAAAGGCAAATAAATCACTGTTACTAAACATAGCTCATGGTTACCTAACTTTACATAATCCTTTTCGATGTTCGCTACGTCCTTTCTTTCTTTCTTTCTTTCTTTACAGATGAAGATCAAATTCAGTTTTCTGACGGTTGGTAAAAATTCCACTATCGAAAAACCTTCCTAAGAAAAAAAAATTATTCTTTTCTTCAATTCTTTTTTTATTTCTCGGTTACCAAGAAGCATTTGATATATATCTCTACTGATAAAGATGAAATACATTTCCAACACAGGTGGCAAAAAAGTCCACTATTGAAAACTCTCCTTAAAAAAAATGTTTCTGTCCTTTATTTTTTTTTCTTGGTGAACAAGAAGCCAAAATTGTCAACAAGATACAAGCCATTTTCAAGCCACGAGAGTTGTCATGCACAAACCAGCCACTGAAACACACTCGCCCAAAGTGCAAAACAAAAGTGAATGAGGAAAGAAAAGAAAAATAAAAGAAGAAAGAAACAAATTGTAACATTGATTTCATACTCATTCCTGGCTGGAAAAAAATGGATGATGATGAAATTTCTGTCATGATCAAACTTGCGTTGGCATGGATGATGTCAACTTCAACAAAAGCATCTAGCATAGATGAAGAAAATTGGACTGAATCTGATGATTATTTTTAATGTCCTTTTCACATTAAATACCTGTAAGACAGCCTGTATTTGCAGAAAAATAGATAAACATCGTCATCATGCGCATGTACACATAATAAGATAAATGTATCTTACAAATCAAATTGAGAAAAAAAAATCTATCTCAATATTCACCAAAGTTAACCTGCACAATAAATATAATACTTCGAACAGGAATAGTCTTTAATGCTAAAATTGTCACATGATAGAAATTCAAACTTTCTTACATTTTTGTGATTTTCCATGCCGGTTAAGTTTTGAGATATTAAAGTGGCATTGCAAAAATCACAAGAACCTGCCATGCTTTAATAGCAGTGCAGGCCCCATTCCCACACAAGACGTTTAAACCGTTTTCAAAAAACTTGCTGCAACAAAATAGCAACCACTTTACCAGAGGCAGTAAATAAAAAATAAAATACAAAACGATTGCAGAACGTAAAGGTCCCAGAGCATATGAACTGATCTATCTGTCATGAAAGATCCTGAACACAATGGTTCCAGAACATATTTCATTTTGCTGTGGCAAAGTTTTTGAAATGGTTTTACAGTCTGATGGGGCGTAAGGGGCGTTTAATACAGTGAACAAGATAAAGACAAGAAAGAGAGAGATACAGTGAAACTTTCTGTAACGCTCTCACCAAAAGTGGAAATGCATTGCAGGTGCAAATATCTCCCTCGCAGACCGATGGCGGCAATTTCGAATGGCATTGGTACTTAGGCAATCATTTGGGAACAAAAAGGGTACTGAATTATCATTACAGGGATCGAGGCTATGAATACTCAATAAAATGAATTGCTCTTCCACCTTTTTTCCATTTATTATGCATTATTAATAAGGAATAAAGACACTTTTTTGAGCAGAAATTGAAGAATGGATAAAGCTGTTCAAGATCTGATTTGTTAGGGGCTTCTCTTTCACATAGAGAAGAGCCCGTCAAGAAACAGACTTCCACTTGGTGTGAATTTACGCGGATTCTAGAGCATTGATCGCTCTCCCAACAGAGGACTTCCCATTTTACCTCCTATCCGAGGGACAGGCCGCCATCGTCTACAAGGGAGAATGGTACAGTGTGTGCCAACCACTACGGTATATATTACCTTATCCCCTCCGTGCATTTTCTTTTCTAGCTCTTTCCGTTCCTTGGCCATGTCTTGATGTAGGAGCATGTTACGATCAGGAACGCTTATTCGAGTAACAGACGATCTGATGACGAAACGACAGAAGAAAAAAATGAGAGTGAGTCATTATCCATACTAAATAGATGGACGTTAGAAAATTATTTTGATCAATGAAGGAAAGTAATAAGACCCCATGTCTTTAATAGTGCCATCATAAGTGTTATAACATTTTCTCACAACTCTACTAAGTGTTTTATTGAAGTTATCTGAAGGAAATTAAGAACAGTGTTCTATGAAATAGCATCTCTTGACAAAAAAATGAGTCATGTCTAAGCCTTTGTACCTGGATGGCCACAGCCACAGTTAAAGCATTTTCACAAAGTCTTTTCTTTGTCTTACTTCGCCAATAATCATGAGACCTATTCTAATAGCAGCACCAACTTAATGAAACCACTGAAAATGCAATTACTTCTCACCATAATCAACTCTAGTTTCACTACGCTTACTAAATAATGTCTCCACCTCTCTAGAAACTTCTTAATGTCTAATCTTAGATAATGTTAATGAGGATTTCTTTAGTTTTGATTACGTATGGTACAACTATCAAGATATCATCTCAAACACATACATGTAATATAATCAACATTGACATTTGTGCTGTTATAATTGTGTAGATATACTGTATCATATAGTGGTAATAATAAAATGTGTGCATTTACACTTCGATGGAAATTTTGCATGGTATGGTTATGTTGTGCTAGATTAATTTAGATATTCTGATACAGAAAAAAGACGGATGTAATTTTTCCATGCATGGGTAACTTCAAACTTATATTTTGCCTGTATTGATTTTTCAGAGAGACGGTTATGTGTTTTATGAGTATTACATGAAATTGCAATGGAAATAAAATATCTTTATTTTTTCAGTCTCCTCAAAATCATGGTAAGTATTAATAAATAAAATTTCTCATGCTATCAGAAAATGAGTTAATATTGTATCCAATTTTTCATTGCTCCCTCTTTACAATAAGTAAATATAGACATGCATGATTGAAATAACAAAGTTATATCAACTGAAAATGTTACAGTTGTTACCTTAATACGTTGTTGGTGTTTTAAAGAATGTGTGATTTTAAATTTGGATGACATTGGTGTACAAATATGAGTATACGTATGTGTATCTTAACGCAGTGTGCTTTATTATCACAAATACTGACCCAATTACAATAAAGACTTTGAATATGACATTAATTTCCAAACTTACCATAACAAAACAGTCAAACAAGTACATTAATAAATGTTTAAGAGGTTCGTTGAAGACCGAACAAAAGAAGCTCTTAGATACTCACTCAAAGTACTTCTTCTATCTAGCAGGTATCACTACGGTAAACCAATTGATTCTTTTTTGCATATTTTGTAAAGCTGCATTTTAAGCTGTATTTTTTGTTTCTTTTTACACAGCAAACAGCAGACATACATGTTCACTTCTTCATCAAGAGAGATGCAGAAAAGGGCACTTTCATCCTCTTTACTGTGACCAATTAAAACGTAACTTCAGTACAAGTGAAACGTCATAAGAATTGGTGCAAACGTAGCGTCAGCAGAGATTGTGTGTACGTGTGAGACACATACAGAAAGCAGAGTAGCATTTATTGACCCACTACAATGTAAAGTGATATCAAGCATACACTTTGAGAAAAAAAACTAAACATCAATGTGTAAGCAATACTCTAACATTTGCTTCTCAAGCTTACTCTACCAATTATCCCTTTGATGAATGACCAACACCACAAAATTGTAATCATCACATTATCCAACTTCAAGAAGTATATAAGCAACCAAATAATCTTTGACTGCATAACATGAAGAAGGACTCAATGTTCATTTCCATTTGCAAATTCTTGCACTGTAGGTTTTTTTAATAAATTTTATAACCATTAGGCACACTGGAAATGGAGTTTTACATATTATACTGCCTTTGGTAAAGACTGCGCTTACACTGGAAGCTGGAGAAAACATTGTTTAAAATGTAAATGTATTAATGTGATGTTTGAAAAGCACCATGAAACGAGGAGAGAAAAAGCATCGCTTAATTTTCACACGCCAATGGCGGAAATAATCAGGGTGTTCATGTACTTTCTTCCAGATGATAGGCCTTTCGTTTGAAGGCCAGATATTTGAGATGAGCTGAAGAAATCAAAAGAGTTGAAGCAGAAACATGATGAAGCGCAAGGTAACTTGCTCTCACACGCATATTTGTCTTGATCATAGCTACTTGAGATAGATAGTTGTGTCACCGAAAGTTGGGCTCCTGATTGGATAGTCATTGAATGATGTTGTGCCTGTCTGTGGCAAAAATGATTAAATTGCAATTTTTAGGTTACTAGTTGACATAAATTTCCTTTGACCGTAAGCATATAAGGTTATAATATTTGCAAATTCAAATATGATTTTGGAAGTCGACTTTTATTGGAGTTGTATTGATCCATAATTTTGACTCCCTGGATGGGGAGAGGCTCCTGGAGACAGAAGACATTTAGGGCTCCACAAGTGACCTTATGAACCTGCACAGGTATGGTGTCACAACTATACCTCTCAACTAGCTACGGTTCTGTTATAAAGAAATGTTTCATTCAATATATACATCAATGATTGAAAGTTAAATCTAGTTTGAAGATATACAGAGGGGCAAGAAAAACTGAAAGCATAACTATGATCTAGCATGAATGTTGCCTCAGCGAAACCATTACCTTTGCTCTGATGATGCTCTTCATAAGAAAGACAAAATGGATGAAAACATTAAATGATCTTAAAATATAGACTCTTTAAAATTAAAAGAGAGAATGCGAGAACTATTGATAGAGTTGTATACAGGGTCAAAAACTTGTTCAAAGCTTTGTTACAATACCTCTGGATCTCTATACAGGTCGTTCACAATGTCTAAAATGTAAGACAATAAATTGTAAAGTCTTAAAATATACATGTTGTCTCACATTGGTCTTTATCTGTTCCAGCTCATGATTTTCTCTATCTGTTATTCTATCCATGTCTCTCTATCCCAACTTCCTCTCACTCACGCCCTCACTCACCCTCACTCACCCAACCTATCAACCCACCCTCCCTCACTCACCCAACCTATCAACCCACCCTCCCTCACTCACCCAACCCATCAACCCACTCTCCCTCTCTCACCCACCCTCACTCACCCAACCCATCAACCCACCCTCCCTCTCTCACCCACCTTCACTCACCCAACCCATCAACCCACCCTCCCCCTCTCACCCACCCTCACTCACCCAACCCATCAACCCACCCTCCCTCTCTCACCCACCCTCACTCACCCAACCCATCAACCCACCCTCCCTCTCTCACCCACCTTCACTCACCCAACCCATCAACCCACTCTCCCTCTCTCACCCACCCTCACTCACCCAACCCATCAACCCACCCTCCCTCTCTCACCCACCTTCACTCACCCAACCCATCAACCCACCCTCCCTCTCTCACCCACCCTCACTCACCCAACCCATCAACCCACCCTCCCCCTCTCACCCACCCTCACTCTCACTCACTCACTCACTCACCCACCTACCCTCCCTCACCCACTTACTCACTCTCACTCCAACCCACCCACCCTCACTCACTTGCTCACTCACTCACTCCCTCACCCACCAACCCTCACCCAACCTGTCAACCCACCCTCACTCACCCACCAACCCTCACCCACTCACTCTCACTCACTTCCTCACCCACCCACCCTCACTCACCCAAACTATCAACCCACCCTCCTTCACTCACCCAAACTATCAACCCCACCCTCCTTCACTCACCCAAACTATCAACCCCACCCTCCTTCACTCACCCAAACTATCAACCCACCCTCCTTCACTCACCCAAACTATCAACCCACCCTCCTTCACTCACCCAAACTATCAACCCCACCCTCCTTCACTAACCCACCCTCACCCACTCACTCACCCACCCACCCACCCTCACTCACTCACTCACCCACCGAACCCCACTCACTCACCCACCCACCCTCCCTCACTCACTGTCACTCACTCACTCACTCACCGACCAACCCACCCAACCACCCTCTCTCATTGACACACACACACACACACTCACTCCCTTTTCATATTTACCTCACCTCAATTCAAACAGATACTTTTCTAAGTTTGCTAGCTAGACTGTACATGAAAACAGTGTATTTGCACTGATCATGATTCTACAACAGCCTACAATATTATGGTAGTGCAATATTTAGTTTGGACCATCACTTTCCCAAATGCTAAATCAATGCACTACTTGAGCATATGTGTACTGCTTGGAACCAATGTAAAACACTTTTATTGTGTCGTTTTAACCTGAAAAATCTGAGAAGTTAACCAAAATGGTAATATAAGGCTTTGAAATTGAATGCATTACTAATCCATGAATACTAAGCACGTATTGGAAAAACATGAACTTCATTCTTATTATGTCCGCATGAACCACATTTAATTCCAAATAAATCAATTTGCTTAGTACTATGTTATACTGTAGCCCCGCTGGACCGTCGGCCTCTCTCTCTCTCTCTCTCTCTCTGTCTCTTGCTACATGTTAAAATCCCACTTACTCAAATCCCTCTATTCAATACACCTTATTCATATCTATGCTTCTATTTGTAGTTCATATTATGTCAGTATTTATATTATTACATTTTACATTGTTATTTTGGTGATGTTGTGCTAGCTCTCTACTGGTTAGAAGTACTATGCTTAATACCTAATGGCTGCTAGGACAACAGCACCTAGAAACATAGTATAAGGTGCGCTAACAATTCAACTTATTATCATCTTTATTGCACCTTCCCAATTCTTGATGTTGTCTATCCATCCCGCAGTATGTCTGCCAATGACCCATTTCAAAATGATTCCCTGCCTAAGGACCTACTTGCAAGCAGCATTAATGAAGCCATGAGCTAATGCGACTTTTGTCTTGCTAATTTGGAAAAGAAAATCCTCTTGGCCGAGGTTTCAGACATTCCGTATAAGACGACAATCAAATTAAATAAATGTTACCAATATACCTCTTTACCTAGCATACTACCAATGATTGCTATGAACTTAAGAAGCCTACAGGAGACCTAATTGCAATATATTATCCAATAGCTTTTGAAATCTAACAAATGCAGGATTGAGAAGCTATCAATTTTCTTTATCCCAAACACCATATGAAAGCCCAAAATACAGTTGCCAGTCCTCGACTTTTCCAAAATAGGAGAGAAGAAATTATGGAGTTTTAAATTAATGGTGGTCTTTTCCATATTCTTCTTTATCCCACAATCGAATTGTCCTAAAGAAACAAATGCCCTTGTTCAACCCAGACACCATGTTATGTATAACTACACCTAGCCGACTAGAAAGCATGTTATCAGAGCTCCAATGGGTTGGCGGCAAGACAACCCTTCTAAACTAAGCTGAGAGCGATTTTTCTTTAAATTTTTCGGTAAGATTTAAACGTGAACCTGCGAGGTTGTTCCGATTTGTCTTGGTTGGCTTGATATTTCCGTAATAGTCTAAGTGCCATCTCTATATCCTCATCGTCGGTCCTTACGGGGTGGCTGTCTCGTCGATGACTGCCACGCCTGAAATTGTTTTGTGATAGAAAAAATCGGCACAGGACCGATCAACAATGCTTCTTTCAAATGAAACTGCTAAATTCAGTTTGATACGTATATGGTGTCAGCAATAGCCTCGACTGGATAATGACGAGATCTCTTTTCTATAGGGTGGTTATCAGCATTTTTAATCAGTTTTGAAAATGTCTTTTTTTTATAAGTCACTCTTTTCCACTATTAGTGGTAGAGCTTAAAATAAATGAAATACTAATTTGGGGTGACCGGTGAATAATCACTTGGACAACTATAAGGTCGTAACTTTTGTTGATAATGGCCATTTGCACATCAAGAAACTATCGCAAATTGTAAAATTCAGTAAATGGGATATTTTTTTCTTCTTCACAAGATGACACAATCTGGACCACTGGTGAAAATTGCAAAAGTTTCTTTCTTACAAAAGTTTTCAATTTTACAAAACGAGACATGAACGAAATCTGGGCATGTTCAGTATAATTTTTTTTGCCTGATGCCACTTTTTAAGCTAGAACCCCTCTTTTTCAAGTTACAATTAAAGATTCAAATGGCAATTAACTCCATTTATCTTTGATAAGGTTACTGATGATAAAGTTAGAAAAGAGATCTCGACAGTTCCACAGTATCATTTTGTCTCCGCACTTTCAACACGCACAACTGACCCGCAAAACCCTGCATCACACCCCAAGATATCACACTGTGTCTAATAAGTACACAAGCCCATGATACATACAAAAGAAATTGTCGTTGCAAGTAGGCAAAACCAGCAAAATGGATAACAAACAATGCACGTTTATGACATTTTTTTTGTTTTTTCACACAGTGGTGTTTGATGATTTGGTGCAATCTTTTTAAACACAAATTAAATAAGCTCCTTTCAAAATGGCCATTTTTACTTTTGCATATGAATATTTTCATATAGATAATTGATGCTTGGGACATTTTGTGGGGGAAGGGCACAAAAAACAAACAAATTGCTTTACAAATGGCCATGGTGTTTTTTTACACAAATTATTTTGCATAAATATGCTGGATATTTGAAGCTTTTTTGTGCAATTTTTGACTAACAATTTCTGTCAAAAAGGCTATGGTGTCTTTCACATACAAACAATTTGGCATATGATGGAAGCCCCTATACAACCGCTTTGAACTTCAATGATTTAATGCATTGAAGGGGACAAAATTGCAGTGCTGCTGTTTGTGGTGCGTGCAAAAAGGTTTGTCATATATGGATGAGCCTCTGATTCGACAATTTCTTTTGCTGAGCTTTATGGTTCATGATAATAAGCCTGTTCGGTTGTGTTAGTGCAATGTGCATAGATGGCATAGGCGATGTTCAGGGTTTGTGATAACTTCATTTTACTAATTTCTCTTTGTTGAGAAAAATATAGTTTAATAAAGCCATGGTAACATAAAATACTTCTAAGTATGCAGATGAAGTAACAAAAATATACCACATTTTGTTCTCTTTGCATAATTTGCTAGGTTTCATTAACTTCAGGGGTTAAGGCACAAACTGCTTTTCTTGTTTCTTTTTTAAACAAATATAAGACAGAATTTCCCAAAAGCTATATAAACAAGCAATAAAATGCATCATTTTGCTTGCTTACGAACAAAAATTAGCATTTACAATTTTGTTCTTTCCAATTTGATTTAGAATATATTCTTTTGATGAACATGGAAGAAGATAGAATATAATCACCCCCAATAAGATATCTTCTGTAATTTACCCTAGACAAATAATTAATGATTAATGAAAACATTTGCATACAAATGTAAGTGCTTTTGTGGAAAAGCGACTCACAAGGATCAAAGAAACAATGGATTTCTTGACACAAAACTTTTTTTCCTTTCTTTTTTTTCTCTTTCCCTACACCTGAACACGCCTGTTGCATGAAGGCCTAATGTTAGTACCACAGGTGGCCAGAATGCACAAAATATTTATTCTTTTTTGTAAGAATAATAATAATAATAATCAAAATAAGAGAAAAAAACAAATAAAATTCATTATACATACCCGCTACCTGACGATGACAAACGGTGTCTGCAAATATAGTCATATTTACTTAAAGTAGACAACAAAGCCACTTAACCAAGATAAGACATTATTTATCAATGTCCATATAAACCATTAGTACTAAAATAAACACAAATGCAATAAATGCAAATAATGATATAATTTTGTAATGATAATCATAGATTTAACAGGAGAATATGGAATCTTTCTTCTGGAATAAAAGCATTTGCTTTCATATAAAATTTGTAAAAACAGAACAGAACTGATTATAACTTTTAGGTAATATGGGAGGGATTAGACCTTTGAAATTTATAGTTTGAAGTTATCATCCTGTTATTAATTTGGACACAGGACTCATCTAAACACCACATACATACTCCTTCTCAAAGTAAAAAGATGAAGAGGATCTAGCTCCACAATAATCCAACACCGTTTTACTGTTAAACATTAGTTGACCAAGAAATATTAATATATCACTCATCAAACTGTGCGATAGAAATAACATTAGTTTAAAATAATACATTCATGTTCTGAATATGAATTCACACATCGTTATTGATATAATAATAATAACAATAGTGGGTTTTTGTATAGCGCTTATATCTGTCATACTTGACACTCCTGGCACTCCGACAAAAACACGTACAGACTATATATGACAGATTTATTGATTCATAATAACGCTGACGACATGAATGACCCATTCATCCCTGAATTACATTCATTATTTAACGATACTGCCAAGAAGTCAAATCAAAAGTATTTATTAGCATTTCATGAGTTTCTGCCATTCAAGGTGATTTAAGTTTAGAATGTAAATTCTTATTTTAAAGATATGACCAGGATTTTATCAAATGAAAAACTTTTGCAAAGAATTTTGCATTTAGGAGCAAACCATGGGATAGTTTATCTTTATATTTGAGTTTTTGACTTATGAAAATCATTCAAAGGCTAAGAAAATAATGGGCATTTAATGGAAGGGTGGATTTCAACGCTTGATAAGAGGGTTGGACTTTGCATAACACTTTTCCAATTTCTTTCATTTTTGCAGAGTTCTTTTTTTGTATTTTTGCAGAGATCTTTTTTTGTACTTTAACAAAGAAGTTGTGTTATTTCGAAATATCCATAGCAATCATGAGAATGATTTTGCAAGATTCCGGATGAATTGTGATTTGAATTACTCTCTAATAACATCCTAGTGTTCTCGTCTTACAAACCAGCTTCCTTTGGACATGTAAAGTAATGTTTATTCTGATGACTGTTATCATTTCAGTCTTACTGACTCCAATTTTGCTGTATCCTGCTCTTTTTGTAGACTAACTTCCATGGGGATTACCAAGATATACTTTAATAGTTTCTCTTTCAACTATCACTTGCTATATGAAACTTTTATGAATCTTGCAATACGTTATATCTCTCTTGCACGCCGGTCATCAAAATCATATTTCCTTTCAAAATGAATCATCACCAACAAGCGGTATACAAGTAATATACAACAACAATCATTAGTGAAAATATACAAGGGGAATCCCCTCAGTCCATTACAATGCAACAATATATACCGGTACTGCATTTTTAATGTCCAATGAAATAGGGACTTTTTAAAACTAATGGGCATTTTACATCTGCATGTGGATAAAAGAAATGGTTTTAAAAACTCACTCATTTTATATGTTCCTCACAGTATTTGATATTATTAAAAGAACTCTTTTCCCCATGAGATAATACAACTGTGCCCTGTGGATTTGCATTCTATTCCTATGAAGGTCTGAATAAGTTACTTGAATCATGGAGTTAATATTAAATCTACATGCCTAAATGAGCAGAGAAATCACTCTAAAGTCTAATATGATCAAGACACGGTCATGTAACACTTATCTCAGTAATCAAAACAACTTAGTCGTGATCATGGACTTAGTTTCAGGGAAAAAAGTTGATTATTACAGGGATAATTCTACTACATGACGGAACTTGATGTAGGAGTTTGTAATGATGATCGGAAGAGTTCTAGCAGCTCTAAGGTTGAAAATTCTGAAATTGGATTCCACGCCTCACACATTATTCAATGACATCAATTTGTTGTTGGTTTAGAGAAGTAACATACATGTATATGCATAAAGACGTAACTAAGGCAGGTGCGTTGTTTAAAAAAAAACAGTGATGAATTTGTTAAATGGATGTAAGGAGCTTCTCCCTTTAGCGGTCCTTTTTGGTATAAGGACCTCTATGATCTGGACAGTTCTACAAGTAATTGTATAAATGCAAAGTGAAACTTGATGAGAGTGTGTTCACATTACGGTCGAGCTGGCCCTTTCACATATGAACAGGATCACAGACTTACAATAATACATCATGTTTATCTGGTCCGAATGACCCTTTAAAACCAATGCTGAGATGGTGGTGTCTGCAGAGCTGCGAGGAGGGTGCCTTCAGGGGGAATCCCCCACTTGGGAAAACTCCCACTGCTGGAGGATGCACTTTGGGGTAAGGGGGAGGGGGGATAAGAAAGCATGTTATTGCACAAGATTAAAGTTAAGCCGCACAGAATGCAGAAGTGGGAACTCACCTTCGTTTCAGTGGTGGAGGTATCTTTGTATCGATCCTGGGAGCGGTTGGCTCGTCCTTCTTCATCTGAAAGCAAAGAGGACACATGCAAAACGATAACTCAACATTAAAACAGGCGCCACGACGACGACCACCACGTGCACGTGTAGTACAAACAGTCACATGACCACACATACAGGAAGGCCTGCGCGAATCAAGGCCACCGCAGAGGGATGGAGAAACATCTCCACTTTATCTTGACACATGAACACAACATGATGTTCCTTCGAGACTTGCTACACTACAATGGTGTCACTCCAGGGCCCCGTCTTATTAAGAGTTGCGATTGATCCGAATCAGTTGCAAGTCCGCCAATCAATTGTAAGTGTACAGACCCCTATCTCTAATTGTACATACATGTAGTTGCGATTGATATCAATCGCAAATAAGTTGTGATTAATCGCAACTGTTGATAAGACGGGGCCCAGATCAACACTGCATTTCACCCAATATCATAAAACTGGCATTCAAGTTCGAGAAAACTGGCCTTTACAAATATCAGGTGCATCCTCATTCGCCAAGATTGAATACATTACATTACTCATTTAAACTACTTTTGATGGTCATTTAGATATTTACACTTAATACAACATACGGTATGATTACCAGTAACTTTTACTTATAATTTCCATCCAGAATCAGTCTAGAAATTCTTGGTTGTCCTTGGTTGTCCAATATATTAACACAGATCACAACGTCAAATTTGATTTGAAACACTGAATTTATATGAAGATTTGCAAATTTCAAAAAATGAAAATGTTTTGGACCTTCATACAGGCCTATAGCGTACTCATTCACACCCAGGCACACATGAACACATTTAGTACATATAATACAGTGTTAATATACACACAATATATATACACCCCTGTTTACAAATGGAGAAAGAAATCACTAGAATATAGATTCCATTAAAAAATCTTGCAGCATTTCCATTTTGGCATATTAAAATCATAACTGTTAACAACCAATTAAAATTAAAGAATATTGTAAGTTAAGACATTATCTAGGTAGTGATTTAACATAGAAATAGAACTGCAGTTGCTGATAATAAAAAAAAAATTAATCCATGCCTAACTATTGACTTCCATGTATGGTTTTGCTGAGACGAAGGTTCTGATATCATTTCTATTTCACCATTTTTCAATTCCGTTTTCTTCCCTTTTGCCGGTGAAAGTTGTCAATTTAATTATAGTTGTTCTATCAAATGTTGTGAATGAAACCTGACTTTCAGGCAACACAGATTTTAAGTCACATGAAAGTCATCAATGTTCTGATCCTTTTAATGAATTTGCACTTAGTACTTAAAAGAAAATTTGAAGACTTTTAATACCTCTTTCAAAAAGTGTATAGGTATATATAATGTATATCTATATATCGCTTGTATCTCATAAAATTTCCCTACTCCCGTGTAAAGACGGAAGAAACACTGAAATGCCTCCTATGAGAGGTACACCACTGTTTATACATTGAACCCAATATGAGTTCCCCAGAGATCACATCACAACTGCAGAAGTCGGTGCATGTTAAGACAAGGAGGCACTACAGTGTACCTTCCACAATCAAAGACTTTTAGTAAAGCCGACTCCCCCATCGAAAAAAAAAATTCAATGACTGTTTACACTTAGGGTTATGAGACATGGATTTCAGATCACTTCTTTGTATGAGGGATCAAGTAGCCCCCTTTCACACACATAAAGTTTCCACTATTCTACGTTTGCCAACGTTATGGGTTAGCAGTTTGAACGCAGTGGTCAGTTGCCTGTGTCAGCAGGGCAGTCATACTTACCAACACAAACACAACACATAGATTGATTTTACATTTCCGCCACAATGCTGAAGCTTTAAAATTACTCAAATCCATCCCCATTTCTTCTTTTTTTTTTTTTTCTTCTTGTCATGTTATCCCACAAAAAGACACATTCCCAAAACGTTACACAAGAATTACAGACAAATCTTTGTGTAGGTATTTAATTACTCCCAATTGATACCGTTCCAAGAATAATCCTGTAGTAGTCCAAAATCGTCCAAACCTTTTGATGTTGATTTCAATTCGACTCTATACAAAATTGATGCTCACGTGAACATATATACACCAGACATGTTTACAAGAGTTTCGATACAAACATGTCAAACGCTGAAAAGATACATTTAACAGTCTGTGCTCCAAACCAGAAAAATGGTTTGAAAAAGGTAGAAAAAAGAAACATGAGAAACATTCAAAATGAAAACATGAAGGACATTTCCAGATGACACTTGAACAAGAGATATGAAAACGTGACAAAATGGAGAAGATTTTTCATTAGAAATGTTCAAGGTGATTTGAAGATGCAGTGCTTCTTGCCCCATATGTTACTAACCAGCCAAACAAATGGGCGGGCTAAACATGAATACTTCAAGCAAATCCAGTCTTTCTTTCAATAAAAACATGACTGTGCTATGCACTACAAATGACCAAACAAAAAGAATTAAAAGAAGGAGAGAGAGGGGGACAGGGAGAGGGGGCATAAGGGGGCAGGGACTACAAACATGAGGGGGAGAAGCGCAAAATCAAAATTAAAGAACAAGGTCTTGTTATGAAGAAAGAGTGCAAACTGTTCTGTGAAAATCACAAAGAAACTGCAAAGTGTCTTATTCATGCAAAGTTCAACTAAGGCTAAGTGCAGAAAAGAACATTGTCAGGTATCAAAATGTACAAATCAATATGAAGGTATCTTTGACAAAATTACAAGTTAAGTTTCACAATAGCCTATTTCCACCTTCTTTCAAAGGCACATACATGTAAATGTTAATCATAGAATAAACAATGCTCAATAGATAATGAAAAGAAAAAGAATATACATGAATATAAATTCTCATATCGATTCAAATGAATACAAAATCACTTTCTGCAGTTTGGGATAAAGCCAAATTCTTAGAATTTTAACTGGTCAAATCTGATAGCCATAATCAAGACCAATCTCTATTTCACCCATAGATCATTTATTCATTTTCGGAATTACCTCTGCAATGCAATACCACATTCTAACCGGTCAAATCTGATTCCTAGTCACTTGCACCCTATTTTACTATTTCGGGTCACATGAGAGACATTTGGATTCTAACTGGTCGAATCTGATAGCCGTAATCGAGACCAACCTCTAGATCATTTATTCATTTTCTAAATTTCCTCTAAGATACAGTATCACATTCTAACTGGTCAAATCTGATAGCCTCAATCGAGACCAGTCTCTATTTCATTCTTTAGGTCATTTGTTCATTTTCTAAATTTCATCTGCGATACAATACCAAAGATCCCAAAATGATAATTCCCTTGCAAATGTACAAACAATTTATTTTTTGTTGGTGAAATCAACCCCTAGTGACTTACACCCTCCTTTATGATTCCGGGTCACAAAAGACACATGTAGGTCTACCCAGGACAGCTGATTAGTATGGTCCTAGGTATCAAGTCTTGGGTTCAGACCCTTTTCTTTTTCCTTTTGATATTCAAATTTCCCCCAAAACTCTGTCTATACTTCATTCATGAATTCATCAATACTGCAGAAATGTTGAAAATTCGCCCCTCAAAAAGTGCATTTCTCTGTGAATAATACACATCTTCGAAATAGTATTTTTCTTAGTTCCTTTGGGTGATAAATAGCCTGAAAGACAAGACTAGATGAAGATACAGGAATGTCCATGTATACAAGGGTCTGATGGAGGATCTACAGTTGTTGGATTGGAATGTACATTGTATACATGTCTCATTACATAGGTTCTTCTTCTTAGTTTTCAAATTCAGACCCATCTTAAAAACTATACTCTGGTCTAAACTAACCAATCTTTTCACAATTAAATCAATTTCATTACTATTTTTTAAAACACAGTTTCATTCTACCATTAAGACAGTCAATACAGCAGAACAATTAAAATTTGTATGAAAGAAATCCCCTCCCAACCTTCATGAGAACAGAAAAATTTCCTGTAGCTTACAGTCCCCATAAAAGTATTATGAATTTCTCCAATAATGATTCATACATTGGTGTAAGAATAGTTTAAATTATACAAACCTCTATCATTAAACTCCTAACTTTTCATGAGACTAATACCATTTGCTAAATGAAAGTTTGTTGCATTAAACCTATTTGCATCATTATGTACTTTAAAAAATCCTCTCATTATCTAAAGCGGAAAGACATATTTGTTACTTTCAGTATGAACAAATTTGAGAGCTTTTTTTTAAATTTCAATATTACGACAACGTCTATTCTTTATTTTGTTAACTACCGAGAAAAAATTCACTAGTTGGTCTTGGACAAAAGCTAGAGTGACTCCTGTGGTATGGCTGCCAATTTGCAGATGAGTCAGGGATCGAGGAGAGATAATCTATCATGTGTTTTCTGAGTTTGTATAAGTGACAATGGAATGTTGCACAGAGAGAGAGGCTCGTTCGTCTCTCTGCATTTCTGGGCTGTAGCTTCTTCCCTTCATATCTTTCCATGCAGGTCGACATTTTGAAATCATTTCATATCTTGATTCAAAGAAAATAAGATTGCTTCCAAAAGTCTTATCTTGTGATGTTTAAAATACACTGGTGTACTATTAATGTACACCGGTGATAAGATTGTACAACCAGAATATAATGCCTTTTGTTGATAATCATGCAACAAAAAAAATCTAAATGGCTGCCAGAATTCCCAAGTATAGCATTGTTATCATCATCATATTCTTACTAAATTTAACAATGATATTCTTATTAAATGTATTTATGAAAATTCACATCCCTAAATTGATGCCATTATTCACAATTAGGGCAGTAATATCATCGCCACCATTATATGAAACAAAATCGCTACATCCCTCCCCCACCCCCCTCCCCCTGTACCTCGCAAGTGTATTTACATATAATAGAGGTTATTTTCGCGATAATACAATACGTGGAGTCTAATTTCTCGAGAATAAGCAGAGTGTAAACAGGGCCCTCGTTGGAAGACAGCAATTCCTTGAAATAGCCTGGTAATAGCTGGTGCAATTAATGAACCATCGCTCTGGTGACATATGTCTATGTTAACATTCATCTTCTATTTATCTGTTGACAGATTTCAGTGAGAGGATGACCAGAGTCTGACCCCTATCCCCCCCCCCCCCTCCTCCCCAAAGAAAAAAAAGAGAGAAATGCTTGGTGCAATCCTAGCTCCTACTTTCCAAGAATTGACTGATCGAGTTATGTACACTGTAGTAGAGTCATGGTTCTTGGAAGACAAGATAAAGTTACGGTACAGGGAACCAGAATGAAGGAGCTCTTTCACTGAAGCTCTTTCTCAAAACTTGATTTTAAATCCAATTACATTAGTCACATCACGGAGGTTACACTAGATGTAGATTGCCTTCTTATTAAAAGGATATGCTCTTAATACCAACAATGTGCGCCGAAAAATGAAGAATATTTGACTAAATAGAAACTATGCTATTGCTTCCTCAGTTTCGTTTCCATTTTTCCCCCTAATCTGATAAATGCAAAATATGTCAATCTATTGTTACTTTTGTTAACATAGGAAACGTTGCCCATTCATAGCCTAAATTTCTGAGTGTGAACTTCGACATAGCTCTTTCCAATACAAGTACGAAATATAAACATGATCTACATACATGTACTTTGCACACCTATTATAGTAGAATTATTAACCAGTGCACATTTATAATCTTTAAAACATTTTCTTTTTTCCTTCACTGTAAGATAGAGTTCAACTATATGAAGAACAAAAGCAATAAACATTCTTTTGCTTGTTAAAGGTCAGGACGATGTTACCACCACTGCAGTATTCTATTACCACCAAAAACATTAAAATGACACAATTTAACTTCAACGCAAAAATAATTGAAATTTCATACCTTCACCACAAGTACCTGTGTAAAGGTTAAATATTCGGGCAGTTTGTCCAAAAATAATCTGAATTTGCTTGAATTTTAGAACTTTATTTATATTCAGACATTCTTTCGCTCGTTGTAACAGTTGCAAATATATCGCACTTCAAAACATAGTTTCTACATTTAACTTTATTTAGACAAATGATACATTTACCTCAGAAATCATTAATGATGAAAAAGACATTGACGTTGTTTGTCCAAATACATCCAAATCTTGATTACCATTGTGTGCAAATATCAATTCAATTCCAACATTCTTTGATATGTCTCTGTTTGTTGTTTTTACTTACTGATGCTTGTTTCTTTTTGAGTTCCTCGAGCCATTTGAGAATTTCTTCGTCTGCTAAATCGAATGCTGTGTGATTCTGGTTGGAGACGGGTGAAAGAAGACCATATAATAATTCAATGTTGGTGAAGAAACAAAATAGCATTTTCCATTTCAAAATTTACTTTCTAAATCAAAACAAAATGTTTGAGCATTTCCCCATGCTCTATATTGAATGTGTGATTCTTATATATGACAGAAATTAAATTCAATACAGGTGTTTCAATGGGTTTGCAGCAAACTTTTCTTATGACGGTTTCATAAAACACTGCCCAGAATGCAGCAAATGCAAATTCAATTGTGAGATACACACACGTATTAAAAGTAAACATGTTTGTATTAATTCATAGATGCATACCAGTAAATGATGATTGGCAATTTTAACAGGAACTTTTAGACCTTACCCTTTCCTGTGTAGTTAATCCTAGTGTATCATCGGTCCCATGTGTCTAGATTTTTGTTGACAGTTTTGGTTAACCAAAACACACCCTGTGCTTAACCACTGTTACATAATAAACCAAACGTTAACCATGACAACAAACCAGCCATCAAAACGGCGGTATCTTTAGAGTTCTGACATATGCTCCGGTGACAACTGCTTCAGGAACACATGCTCCTGTAATGGATTTTTCTTTTCTTTTCCAGGCTGCGAAGAAAGCATGTGTATGCTTGCAAGTCAGTAACCATGGGACCATCGGCTTTAAGTCCTCTCCGAGGGACTTGGTAATAAAGATAAAATGCCTTACCAAAGGGCACTAGCGTATCGACTTCGCTTCAAACCTGGAACCTCATGGTTCCTACAAGAATACTGCTCTACCACTGAGACGTCGCGCCTCCTTTTGTCAAAAGTATAGGGCTAGGGTCAGGGTTGCAGTTGGGTTTTAGATTAAATTTAGGGTTAGGGTAAAGCTACGGTCACAAAGGTTCTTACGAACGTTAATTTTGTACGAATCTCCGTTTTTCCATTGTCTGAAAATCGTTCGTATGGCGTTCGTAGCAGTTCGTAATGGCATTTGTGACCGAGGCTTTACTCATAGCGTAGGGCTAGGGTTAAAGTTAAGAATCTGCTTAGTGTAGAAAATTGTCGCAGGAGCATGTGTCAACCAACCTATACCTTTCCGTCCAACTTTTCCTTTGTCCAAAGGGCTATCCTTATGAAATCCTTGACACCACTTACTTCTTGAAGGTGGGCCTCAAACTTACTAATTTGTTTTTTGTGTCCATATCGCACATGGCTTTTACTAAAACTTCACAGGCGTCTTTATGACCCCAATGCGACGACGCGTGGAGAGGCGTCCATCCGTCGTTATCTTTTGCGTTCACGTCCACCCCGGCCTGTATAAGAAGTCTGCAGAGAAGAAAGGAACAGAGAGAGATGTAGAAATTAATCAAAATTATTCAGAATGATAATTCTATTTTACTAATAATAATAATATGTCCTAATGCTAAATATATTACTCATTGCCGATGTAGTATCGAAAATAATATCGCTAGTGATTTTCGTTTGTTTTCGTTTGTCTCGCAAAGTGGTCGAACCAGCGGCCTGCTGATTGGTCGAGCACCGTGTGCGTCAGACAATAGGTCTTGTGCGTTATTATTCCAATTATTGACCGCTGCGCCGGTCCTCTTGTAGAGTATAAAACACGCTTGCTTACATTAGTTTTTATCACCTGACGAAGTGTTGCAGAGGCGCACGAAACGTCGTGATCTTTTAGATCCCTTATTGACCACATTGCGAGACAAACGAATATCACTAGCGATATTATTTTCGATATGTCTTTTTTACACAGGGTAGCCTCATCAGTATTCATACTGTTCTCCCTGAGGGCCCTGCAGTCATATCATTACCCAGGCTTTGGCTAAGCAACCATGAAAAGGTCCTCAAGCATTCAAGGAATTTCTTTCAACCGGGTACCCATTTACATCACCTGGGTGTAGTGTGGCAAATGCAGAATAATGACTTGCCAAAGGACATTAGTTCCGCGGCGGGACTAGTACTAGGAACCGTGCGATCCACAGTCCAGTGACGTATTTTCTAGACCACAACACCTCTACATGCTTGGATCAAGCGTTTATATTTCTCTTCAGTAGTATTCAGTATGGACATGCAAGACGTTGATCGAAAGCCAGCAGAATCTGAGAAACATTCTTTTCAAATGTTGTAAATTTGAAGAAAATGGTCATTAGTCTATAAACCCTTTATAAATATAATTCCTTTCTTAAAATGGTTAGGATAAAGCAAACGCCCTTGTGCAAGGGCAAGTCTGAGACTACAAAGTGAGGATTACTTAAAACAAAACAAGTTTTCCTGACCAAGTAGGCTGAACTTTTACTTGCATTGCCAGGAATTTGAGAAGGATATGTGTCTTTGAAAATACATTACATTCTTAAATTGGCAACACGTTTATAAGTAGATAACCACGCAATATAAAGTGAAATTATTTTTTTATTTTTCAGACAGTTTCTGTCCATTTATAATCTTTTAAAAATATGATATTTGGTTGATTAGAAAAGTGAAGCAATAAACAGAAATATAAGTGTTGCCAATTTGAGATGACACACTAATCAAACAGCCTTGCTCGTAGACTGTCATAGGGACACCCATGTGCGGGGGAGGGGGGTCAGGGGTCGGAGTCTTCACGGGATGACGTCAGAAGGACCACAAGGTGGAGATTACTTAGCACTTAGTCAAAGTTTTCTTGTTTTGTTTTTCCAGCATCCCCAGGCCCCCTGCCCTATCAACAGAGATGACAGAAAGGCCGACTGCTGGAAGATCTCCCCGATCTAGCCGTCTGATCAAGGGAATGCACTGTAAAGGTTTATAGCCATTTAGTCTACAAGTCATTCGTCTACTTCCCGATTGGTCTATTCCCATGTGGTCTTCACCCAGCAGTCTTCTATCCACATGGACTGATAATCATTTGATGATTATTATTCATGATTAAATGATTACTAGACCAAATGGATAGTCGACAAAATGGGCATTGGGCAAACTGGAGATTAGACTGGTAATTAGACCAAATGAGTGATAGACCAAATGGGTTGTAGACTTATTGGATACTAGACCGAATGAATATTAGCCTACATGGTCATTAGACCAAATGATAAGTAGACAAAATAATTTGTACACTACCGGTATGTGGATGGTAGACTGGTTGGGTGTGGACCATATGGGAATAGACCAATTGGTTGTAGATCAAACAGCAATTACCAAATGGGAATTAGACCAAATGACTATTAGCCTAAATGGCCATTAGACCAAATGATAAGTAGACGAAATAATGTTTAGACTATGTGGATGGTAGACTGGCTGGGTGTGGACCATATGGGGAATAGACTAATTGGTTAGTAGACAAACTGGTTGTAGGCTAAAAAGCAATTCACCCTCTACATGCTATGTACTGATGGTGGCAATGCACTTCTCCAACCCGCCAAGAATAACTTTTATCATTGTTTGAGTTCAATTTGTCATTTTCAAACTGACAATGTTGCCAATTATGTTTTCTTCCACATTTAATGTTCTTATGAGCAAAAATATCAACAATTTTTAAGTTTTCAAGGAACACATTTCCTAGTCCTTTCAGAAATATTTGCACTTTTAGCAGTACCACTTGTCCCACCCATTTGAGGATAATATTTTCCCCAGGGGATGGACGGAGTTTTCATCTTTAAATTGGCAATGTTGCTGACGTTTTTCTCCAATTTCTATTTTTCAATTCATAGAATCAAATACACCTAGTGCCGAATCGCTTTGAACATCCGTCATGGATACCGTTTCGTCTAACAGTCAAATGCATTGTCTTTAGCATAGTGGTGTGTTGACATTTTTCTATACACAATTTCTTTGAACAAAATACAATGAAAATTATGAGAATCATTTCAAATACATCATCTAAAACATTACCCAATACCTTTTCCAGCGAGCCAATTTGCAAGGGAAACAATAAATCTTCTGCGTTTTTATTAACCAACGAATCCGTCATATATATTACTATAAGGATTCGTCGGTTCATAATAAGGACAACATGTTCGTTGGCGGTATTATGAACCTGTTTATATTCGTCGGTTGGTTAAAACGCTGACGAATTGATACAATTGACTTAAGTCCAAGTTTTGCCAATTTTAAGATTTTGAGGCTTGGTTTCCTTTACGAGTGCAAGATAAAAAAAATTCTTCAATTTTGTAGTTTTGACTACTAATCATCTTGATAATAATCACAATAAATACTTACTCCATAACTTTGATATATCCCTTAGCTGAAGCGACATGGAGGGAGGTGGCACCTGTTTTTGGATGCCGCCTATCCGTGACTTTTTTGCTGTTGACCCATTGTTTGGCGTCTTCTAGCATCTTGTCATGCTCCTCCGTTCTTGCCTGATCTACGTCTAAATCTAAAGGAGTAGGAAAAGAAGAACAGAAAAATACAACATCTTGCATTAAAATGAAAAATTGACTAATCATTTTCATGACAAAATAATAATAATAATAATATAGCGCTTAATACATCAACGATGTGTCTAAGAGCTTTACAGTTATATTATTACCCCGGTCATCATATTCAGGCTTACCCGCACACAATGTATGCACTTTATCCACTCCCTTGGGAGCATTCCAGCCAGGCGTCATTTTTACAAGCCCACACTTGCTCATCTAACCACATTAGCTTTCGCATCCTACCGGGTACCCATTTAACACCTGGGTGGAGAGTGGCAAATGTAGATTAAAGTTTTGCCGAAGGACATTAATGCCACGGCAGGACTCAAAACCTGTACCCTGTGATTTGCAGTCGGTTGACTTATCCACTAGACCACAACACCTCTAAAGGATGTTGATGCAGAGATGTAATTAGGCAATGTTTTAGGTTAAAAGGTCCTCTTTTGGTTCTAAAGGGAGATTTGGAACAGCTCTAGAAAGTCTCATTTCGGTTGGCACATTCGATCTTAGACAGGTTTTTTGATGGACCAGAATTCCATCATTGATAGTAACATCTTGTGTACTTGGACAAGACACTCTCCTCTCTCTTGTTGCTGCCAGCTCTGGGATATAGACCAGTAACCAACAATGTAAATATAGAGAATGATCTCTTTGGGTTTTTAAGGGGAGTTGGGTATGAACAAGGTAACTATTTGACGTAGACAATCCCTCTTTTGGTTCATAAGAGGGAATTTTGTACAGTTCTTGTGACATGTACTTTTTATCATTTTTGAGTGGCACCGTGGATTTCAATAGAGCTTTCAGAAAAATAGACACACAAGTGAATTATTGGTGGTAATGTCTTGTGACTTTTGGAGATGCACTTTGTCTGCATTGTTGCCAGGGATGTAGAGACGGATAATTAGGGTCATCTACATGTAGGCGGATGAGAATGTATACATGCCCTCTTTATATGTGACGGCTCCATCTTGCTGGAACATTGGATTTCAGAAGGGCTTTTGCCTTTCGTAAAAGAGAGCCCATGTCTAATTGTTGGTGGTAATGTCTTTCTGTCCTTGGCAGAGACACTGTGTCTGTATTGTCGCCGGGGATGGGGAGATGTAACATTAGGGGCATAGACGTATGAGAATATATCGTGCCCTCTTTTGTGAAAAGGGGGATTTGGGAGACTCACTGGCAGCTCTTTTTCAGTGGATTTCAGGCGGGCTTTTGCCTTTTTGGAAAAGAGAGCCCACATTTAATTGTTGGTAGTAATGTCTTCTGTCCTTGGCAGAGACACTGTGTCTGTATTGTCGCCAGGGATGTGGAGATGTAACATTAGGGGCATAGACGTATGAGAATATATACATGCCCTCTTTTGTGAAAAGGGGGATTCGGGAGACTCACTGGCAGCTCTTTTTCAGTGGATTTCAGAAGGGCTTTTGCCTTTTTGGAAAAGAGAGCCCACATTTAATTGTTGGTAGTAATGTCTTCTGTCCTTGGCAGAGACACTGTGTCTGTATTGTCGCCAGGGATGTGGAGATGTAACATTAGGGACATAGGCGAATGAGAAAGTAGACATGCCCTCTCAATATGTGACAGCTCTTTCTGGAACAGTGGATTTCAAAAGAGCTTTGGCTTTTGCCTTTTGGAAAAGAGAGCCCATGTCTAATTGTTGGTGGTAATGTCTTCTGTCCTTGGCAGAGACACTGTGTCTGCATTGTCGCCAGGGATGTGGAGATGTAATTAGGGGCATAGGAGGATGAGAATGTATCTATGGCTGTGGTACCCTCACGACTCGTTTACAGCTGCTCTACAAGGAATTCATCATGTGGAGTCAGCTAGGGAGCCAAGGGTCAAGCGCGATTGTCTTAAAGGGATGATACAACCCCAGGGATAAGACAGTCAGTTGGGAAGCGAAGGGTCAAGCAGGATTGTCTTAATAAAAGGATGATACAACCCCAGGGATGATACAACCCAAGTGATGAGATGGTCAGTTAGTAACGAATGGTCAAGCACGTTTGTCTTAAAGGGATGGTACAGACAGTTGGGAACCAAAGGGTCAAGCGCTATTGTCTTAAAGGGATGATACACCCCCATCGAAGAGATGGTCAGTTGGGAAGGAAAGGGTCAAGAGAGATTGTTTTAAAGGGATGATATAATGCAAGGTATGAGACAGTCAGTTGGGAAGCAAAGGGTCAAATGGGATTGTCTTAAAAGGATGATACAAGTCCAGCAAACTGACGGTCAATTGTTAATGATGATGATGAAAAAGCTTAAAGCTTTTGTAACCATTTGTAATTCTAACTTTTTAAATTCAATGTGCACTATACAAAACTAAATATCAATGTCCTGCTGGCTCGATTCGGCAGCAAGATTGTTTGTAACAAAGTCTGCCAAACTGACCAATTATATCGTTTTGTGTATGCCAACACTCAAACGCACAAAACTCATACCATACCATACAATAATATTGGCCAATATTCGTTAAAGCGAATGAAGTGACTAAATAAGTACTTAAAACATTACTTAACTTGGCCCACTGATTGTATGCCAAATGTCAACTTTCATTATAAGAGAGATTTAATATAATCCTTTAACAAAACACAATGAATAAAGTCACCAAATGAAAATGAGAAGTTAGTCTAATGACATGTTTCTCGAAAGGATTCAGTTTAAATACAGAAATGAAATTGTTAAAAATTTGAACTTTTCGTGCCATGAATCAGAAAAGTTAGTTTGCTCATTTTACATAATCTGACTTAAAACCTCAACTAGATTTGGTTAAATCTTATACATAACAATTAATGATGCCAAACTTTGATAAATGTAACAAAATCCAAATACTGTAACTAGTGAGGGCCCACTGAGAGATAGTTAATGAATGATTGTCGAGAGCGTGGACAGGGTTTTGAGAGACTGCAAGGCAGAACGCTACCCCGGCAGAGCCCGGTTACGCCACAATAATAATATGTTACATTTATATGGCACATTTTGTGAAAAGTTCAATGTACTTTACAATGTTATCATCAATACCCCTGGCTGAAAGATTCTCATTGTGCACTGTTCAAAAGCATATGGAGGTTCAATACCAAGTGAACTCAAACAACATAATGGCAGTAGCATAGTACAAAAGGGTGTCAAATGGCCTGTCATCATCAGCTCGAGTTTGCCAAATAACCCACTCCTTTAACTATCCCGATCGCAAACTAGCCAGTTAATTTGCATCTTCATTAGCCCGCAATTGCAATTAGCAGTACAATTTGGTCGAGAAAATATCCCGGAAAATCTATATCCCGCTATTTCCCAAATAGCAGGCTAATTTGCACCCGTCCGAGCTAGTTTATGATGAGCGTATCTACGGTCTGGTGAAGACGCAAATTCGAACTTCAGGATTTATATCTAGAGTCTAAAAATAGCGGGTTATTTGGCAAACTTGATCTGATGATGACGGGCTTACTGGAAATATTGACGAAGTATCAACATATAATTAAAGTGTAGATTAAACAATTGTTCGTTATTTATTAGCAATAAATGTACATGCGACGGAACTAAGTAAAAGCAATTTATGAAATTGAAGTGATCTTACCTTGTTTATCCATTTCATCTTGTAAAAATTCCTCCATGTCCTCCTCCTCTGCCAAATCCATTGGTAATTCCCCCTCATTATTGCATGCTACTAAGTCGGCCCCGTTTTCTATTAAATACCTGCACAGAAAGGAAAAGGACAAATGAGAAGTTGGTTTAATTACAATGAATTTAGTTTTGAATGAAATTGTTTAAATGAACATCAATGATAATGATTATAATCTGGATTTTATATAGCGCTTAATACGGAATACCGTCTCTAAGCGCTTTATAGATATTATTACCCCGGTCATTAGATTCATTCACGCACAATGTGCACCATCTCCACTTCCTCTACTCCCATCAACCCCTCCACAAACAAGTGGCTCAAGGATAATGTAGGCATGAAAACAGAGAATCATATTTGTGTATGAAAGCAAAAATTAGAAAAATGGGAATTTCCCATTTTTTATTCGGCCAAGGGTGATGGCATACAATGTATAGGACACGCGCCCCCCTTGTAGTACACAGTAAACAGTACATGACATTGTAAATGCAGGTGAATGGTGAACACAAATTTTTCTAATCACAGTGATTAAACAGTTATATTGTTCACTTTAGAAAATGAAATTGAATTTTATTTTATTGAACACTTTCAAGATAATCACATAGAACAAGAGATGTGCATTTAGGCCTACAATATACACCAGGGCCCATTTCACAAAGCCTTTTTTCAATGAAAAATTACAAAAATCGTCGCTATTTTCACGAAGTGATGGTAGTGAAAAAAAATTGCATTCACTTTGCGTTACGATTTTCCTCACTACCGTCACTTCGTGAAAACAAGGACGAAATCAGTGACAAATCTGCTGATAACCAATCAGAAGCAAGGATAACACTAGCTAATAATAAAACTTTCATTTATTACTGATGACAAGTTTTGTGAAATGAGGCCCAGGACTTGCACTAATATTTGTGTAATGCATTCAAATTCATGTGTTCATGAATGAGCACAACTTAAATTATAAAGAACCATGAAAGTCCCTAAATTGACAACATACCATACATGTAATGCGTAATTTAGAATTGCTATTTATGTGTACAAATTAGCATTCTTGTGTGTGTTAATTTGGGTCATTTTCAATCGCATCGGTTCATTAATATACACCTCTATTTTTAATTAAGATAGGAATAGAAAATAAAAATCAAAATTTGAGGAGAAAAATTTGATTTATTTTAATAGACCTAAAGAAACTTTGAACTACAATTTATGTGGTTATGTACATGTACATGTAGGTCATCTTATTCACACAAAATGAATCACAATATTGTACATGTATGCAACTGAGCGAAATGGGCAAGTGTCCAAAACACAACAATTTACACCACAGGTCTAGCCAAGAATTCCATGTGGTTTGGCCAAAAGGACAACAACTGCTATGTAAACTTGAACATGAAAATTATTGTAAAAATTTTGAAAGATGATCTCATCAAAGGGTTATTTTTTACAAATTTGGCACAATCATCGGCATGTAATTCAAATACCGGGATACACCTCATACATTACATGCTACTGAAACAGAAGTAACAAACACGTTTCTCTACTCTGGCCAATATTTTACATTTAGTACAATACTTGATAGAGAAAATTTTAATAACTGGACATAGAAAACCAAGTCATTATGATATGAAATGAATGTACAAATCTTAATTTATGACTATATATTTAATGACATATTTCATTGATCCATTTAATCCTTGCAAGCTATCTGTATTTAAATAACACTTTCATCACCCCCAAAAAAAGTTATAAAATAGTTCAAAAACACTAATCCTCTACGAAATTGAGCAGCAATTCATGTATGTTATACCCATTATTAAACAACCTTTAAGAAAATTTGTGGAAAATTTTAAGCAAGCAAAGTTTCTAGTGTTACATGTAGCTTGATAAGTTTTCTTTCATAAAATCAGAACTCATTACTATACAAAATTACAAATTACATATTAGTGTACAAGTTTCATTTACTACCGTTACAATTGTACAGATACTGTCATTTACTGGAACTAAACATTACTGGGACTAAGGGATGTATTAAAAAGGTACATGATTATCACAGAATGGGACTACATGCATACGACAGATAGAAAGAAGTAGTACAATGGCTGTAAGCTAGGCCTTGGCCTTGGTATGGCTAGTTAGTAGGATACTGGCATTACAAGCTGTAGGTAAGGTTACAGGCATGTAATGGTAGATAGTTAGCCTGACAAGCTAGTAGATGGCCATATAATATTTCAATGATCGGATCATACATGCTGTCACTACTCAACAGCCCCCCTACTCATTTCTATTATACCAGCAAGGGGCTAGCCTTGTGTACCAGGCACATACATGTAGTGCTCAGGCCTTGCTAGGCTCGTTTACAGTCACAGCTACACATCAAAATCTATTTAAAGATGAAGTTGAGTTCTGGTCATGCGATTGCATTGTGAAAGAAACGGTGCGGAATCGATCAGAAAAGGTTGATCATCTAGCATATAAGAATTTGTGTGTATTGCAAGGTTCTGGAATCATCAACATGATAAGAAATTTGGCCAAGTTTGGTAAAGTTACAAACACTGTACACAGAAAGATGTATATGGGACTACATGAACACGTGGCGTAAAAATCCTACCCTAGATTTTAACAATATTACATGACTTATTTAGAATATGAAGTAATTTGAAGAGCCATGCTTTTCAGGGAACATGTCTTATCTGATGTTCTTCCACACTTGCATAATAAGAATGATAACGCTCACAAATTATTTTTCACCTCTTCCAAGAACTCAACCTTCTCTTTAACAGTGCAGCTACATGTACCACGATACAACTTTTTGTACTTATAAAACTTTAATAACAATTTGCAAGAAGTTGAGATTCATAGAGTTTCATACTGGAAAATATTAAGACTCGATGTGTACCAAAGGAATGGCATCCAGGGAGACAAAAGTATCTACAGTACTTACATAATAATGTGTAATATAAGACACACATATGCAGTATGTTCAAGATTGGTTTAGAACAGTTTGTGCACATGTAAACAAGACTTAATCTTCATAAGAAATTGCAATGAATGTACAAAGTTTCATAATTTCAAACTAGTTTAGGCCTTACTGCAAAGACTAATATAGTTGTAGGTATTTTCCCCCTTCGTATCATTTCAACTTCAAGGGTAAAATCTATCATTTAAAATGAAATTATAAAAACTACATGTACAATTACATGAATGTATCACTATAGCCTCTCATTGCTACTGACAGGGACAATGATTCACGATTTTACCCAAAGAAGGAAATTTGATAAGCTTATTCCTCACAAAGAAAAATAAGCATATCATTTTCATGTAGCCAGTTTTATATTTTAAAAAAGTAGCTAGAATACCAGCACAAAAAGGGATTATCAAAAGGGGAATGATATACATGTACATGTACACACAAAAAGAAATTACTCATGTTTCATCAAACAAACACTGTGAAAAGCAGCATGTCATACATGTACATGTACATTGTCATTGTCATCGACAATGGATTCTGAAGCCAAATAAATCACTTACATGGATTTTGTGATATGGATATTGCTCTTTAGAATTACTGTAGAAGAAGAAAAAGGAGTAAACCCTAAAAATATGACATGCATTTCCTTGTCTGGAAGCTCCTATCACATGTCAAATCAAACTTTTGTCTCCAGACTTTACGAAAAGAAACTGGTACCATCCGGGAAGGGGAGTATTTCGGTAGTTAATGGGAGTTAATTTACTGTGACTCCATGAGCAACAAAATATTTTAATATTTCAAATCATAATTATGATTACTTGTAATGTAAATCAAGACAAATTAATTAGGCGTGAATAAATCAATGCAAAAAGTGTGATACCGTCAAACCTGCTTTAGTGACCACCTGTCTACAAAGGCCACTTTTTGTGTTTCCCTTAGGTGGTCGCTATAGACATTTTCAAGACACATTTCTGCATGGATTTTCAGAACAATTGTATGTGAAGACAAATATTGATGAAAGAATACAAAATTTAGGTTTTCTACATACAACAGGAAACCCAAATTTATATGTTATCTTTTATCAATATTTGTCTTCAAAAATTTTTTTGAGGGGAAATCTCTGCAGAAGTGTGTCTTAAATGACATCCTCTTTCACCTTATGATACAATTTACGGTGAGTGAAATTTTGCCATAAAATATTTGGCAAATTTGGGGTTCCCAACACTTTAGAGGGGCACTAACAATATCAACACACAACATATGAAACTGTCTTTCGCCACTTACTTATTTCGTGAAGAAATATTTGTGCAGATTTAATTCAAAGTTGGCAGTATTCCCTGAAGTACCATGTGTAAATAATGTAAATTATCAACAAAACTGGATGTCAAGTACAAGTGAGCTGCTGATCTACTCAACTAGTTACCTTCAATGGGCCTACAATTCAAGATATAGACAGTGCACATAGTGCTAACATGTTAAAGGTAAAGACCAGTATTGGAAACGCCCCAATTTCAAAAAATGAAATGGAAGCTCTTATTACCAATCATGTGAAAGAATATGTTTTGAATATTACATGATGATAACAATTTTGACGGGAAACCGCCTACTAATTGATATATTTGGTAAATTAGTGTACCTCTCGCCTGTTGAGAGATATGAAATGCATGTGTCGCGCACGTGTGTGTAGTCCCATATACATCTTTATGTGTACAGTGCTTCTAGCTTCATGAAGACTTGGCCAAATTTCTTATCATTTTGATGATTCCAGAACCTTGCAGTACATCTATGCAAGATGGAAGAATCCTGGATCGATGAACAGGCTTAGACCTACAACATCGTGTATTAAAGTAAAGTAAAGTAAAGTAAGATGATCAACCTTTTCTGATCGATTTCACAACGTTTCTTTCACAATGCAATCGCATGACCATAACTGGTCTTTAGCTTTAAGAATCGTTAAAAATACAGCATCCAAATTCACAATTAATTTTCTTTTTCACTGTAAAACCCCATGCACATAACGCTAACATGTCAAGAATCATTTAAAATACAGCATCCAAATTAGTTACATTACTTTCAACTAAACCATGGTTATAGGGCCTACAAATGAAA